AGATTGATGAACTTGATGTACGTTGAAAGGAGCAGGGCCCGCGTCATTGGCGAACAGAGATGGTACTTCGAGTGCAGTAGCTTGAATTGCACCAGTGGTGCGGATCGGGAATCTCCGGCAATTAAGTTACCGAACTCTCCCAAAATGTAGCCACCCACTTTAACCATGTTCTCGTGGCAGGCAGGCGCCTGGAGCGCCTCGAAAACAGTTTTTGCGGCATAGCCCTGCACTTCCTCGCGGTTAATTACGATCTGAATGACGCGATACCACACTTCCTCGGACACGTAATCGCCGGCTATGCGGATTAGATTGAGTATCACATCCACATACCTTGGAAAAAAGGAAGTTTTCATAAACATTTGAAATTAGATTGTTGAAACTAGGAAAATCGGTTCTTACCAGGTGTAATCTGTGGCGTACTTCTCGGCAAGAATGGCCACCTTGAGCACCATCTCCTCACGAATCGAGTAGTCGGCCGTCTCCAGATAGTTGAGCATCTCCTGAACAATTTCCTCGGCATTTCCGCGATCGCACATGGCGTACAAAAGATCCACCGCCATTTGGCGCACGGATACATCCTTCTCCATTTTCATCGAGAGTATGACCACCTCCTGGTGCTTCTTGACCTCCTCGTGCGAAAACTCCGAGGTGGCGAGGTGGCACATGGACTCCAGAGCCAAGTAGCGCAAGTTGGTCTCCCGGTTGCTGAGGAACTGGCCCAGCTGGTTACAGGCGCGAACCAGAAGGTTCGGCTCGCTGTCGCTGTGAATTATCAAATTGATGGCCTCGAAGAGCACGGCGTTCTTGGCGTTCGAGTGTTGCACCTTCTTGCTTTTTGGCGGCTCTTGCGCCTTATTCAGAATCGTCTCCAGCGTCTCGTTCAAGCGAGCCCGCACACCCGCCTCCTCGGTCACCGGATTGTAGTTCTGCAGCAGTCTGAGAAGTTTCACGGACAGCCATGGAGCCGGCACAAAGTAGTAAGTGTAGTCCTGCAAAGGGGATTTTATTAGATTAAATGCTTCCCTACTCCGAGAAATCTTGTATTTTACCTGAAGATCCGTGTAGCTGGCAGTCACTATCCGGGACAAGCGGGATACGGCCAAATTAACACAACCCTTGTACTCGTCCGGGTTGCGCTTGACCAAGGCGTCGATCAGCGAGGTGGCCGCTGTGACTACTCCCATGTGCTGATCATTGAGCAAATGAATGATTCGCGAGGTCCACTCGCCGCCGGGAATGATGTCCGGCGAGGAGCGAAACAGGCGGAGCAGGCACAGCGCCGCCGACTGCTTCACCACGTCCATGGTGTCGCCCGAGACGAGTAGTTTGGGTATCTCGTTGGAGAAGGACTCGGCCATGTCCCGGCTGCCGATGTTGGCGATGCATTGCAGCGCCAGATTAACGTGCACCGGATTGCGCGACTGCAAATCATTCTTGATCGACTGAATGATCAGTCGAATGAGGTCGCTGTTCGTGTTCACCAGCACCGAGATGAACAGGTAGCCCTGTAATAGAAAAATATGTGTCAGCATTGGTATAGGCCAAATATATAAAATGGTATATAAAATGATGCTCAATATTTTTTTTTATTATTTTCCCCATTTACTTTAACATAACCAAGTAAAGTGTACAAATTCATTCTTCAACTGAAAGTAACCCCTTCCCAGTTAAATTGTTTCTTCTCGCTGAATAACAAAATGATTGTGGAAGCAATTATTTGGTGGACTTACGATCTGCTTCTCTGAGTATTTGTTGGAGGACAGCAGGTTGACCGCCTCCATGTGGCCAAAATCGATGTCATGGCCCAGGAGAAAGATGAATAGCAGCTTGCAGACATATTTCTTCTTCTGATATCCGTCGAGGGTTTTATCTCCTTTGAATTTGCTCCGTATGTTGGCCAACTCCTTGTTTATGCGTTTGACCTCTGCCTCTTTGCTTTTACCTGTGGGTAGTGAGGAAAAATCGTCAGATATTAGTAATCTGGGTCAAGGTCACAGAAGGAGATTCACAGTAAAACAAAAGCGACTCGACGGCGGAAGCCTTGCTTTCTTTTCCGCCCCATGATTGATCGTTGGGAGAGCCAACTTCACACTCCTCGGCTCTCTCCATTCCGCGAGTTTTCTCCGGTTCACAAAGGCGCCAATTAGTACCAGTCACCAATCCGCTGCGGAACCTCTGCTCTCCGATATGCTGCCCACAAACTAGTAACTAGTAACCAGCATATATGTAGCAAAGAGCGAGCAGTGACGATAATACCATACAGTGAAGCGTCAATTGATCACTTGGCGCGGCGACACAATTCAAAATATCTTCTAATTTATCGATAATATCTAGCAGTTTTTGGTTCACACTTATATTCATTTTCGACTGTGAAATATCTTTCTTGATTTTATTTGCAAATGATTAAATTTCCCTTTGATAACACTACCCATTTGGGATTGATTACCTAATTTAAATAATTAATGTTTTAAATAGTGCAGAGTTTAAAATTCCATATCCATCCTATCGAGTGCCTACTTTAGGTGTACTTTTGTGCCGCCCGCTTTATTGTGAGTGTTGCTCTTCGTAATTTATCAAGAAATGGCGCTGATTCCGCCCTATGGAAAATCTCTTGCTATTCAACTGCCCTGCTCAATTGGATTTAATGGTGGTTACCCAAGAGATCTGCACTTACAGTTCCTTATATCCGATATAAAGACGGCCAGGCCTCTCATGCCATCCCCCCGCACCGGCGCCATGGTAGTTAGCTTGTTAATTTTCGCTGGTTTTATGCAAACTGGGGGCGCAAGAAAATCGTCGATGAAAGGCGGCCGAGTCTCGAGGCGTTCTTATCGCTCGAACTCGACGTCAGATCCGGAGATATATAGTAGTTGCTCTCCACTCTGCTTGTCTATATTTCTCTGCTTCCGGATCACTTTCTTTGCCGCTCTTTGGGATCTGAAAACGGAAGAGAGATTTGATAAGTTTTGGGATTGCTTCAGTAATATTAATCAATCTTTGTATTTTATTGTATCTAGACGGTATTGTAGAGGGTAACCATATTAAGAAAAAAGAAGAGTGTAAGCATATTATTTAAAATATATTTCATTGAACAGAAAAATTAGCTCATATTGATAGTGGATTTATGAAATAAAACACTCCTAACATAATACCCTAAAACGTAGTTGTACCAAAGAAAAATGTTGGTTAGCGTTGATTTTTTGTTGATTTGCAATAGCGGACAATAAAAATATGTGAACATTTTTTAATATTTCGCTTAATAAGCAAAATAACATAATTTTTTTTATCGCAACAAAAACAATAATATGAACATTTTAGGTAAAGATTATGGAGGTTGTTATCATGGGTCTTTAAAAAATAAAATATGTATCCACCAGATAATTTGTTACACAGTGCAACTCAGATAATGATTTATATATTAAACATTTCGGCCTGATAATCTGTAAACATTTAATCAGTAAACTATGTAAGTTTTTTTGGATATAGATTTTTATTGCAGTGCACCTAATGTTCAGCGAACTTTGACATTTTCGGGTGGAAGTGGAGCCCCCGCAGATTTGGCAACCGATTTATTTGCAACTTGGCAGCGTTTGCACGCTGATAAAGATTCTGTGACCTCGCTCGCCCACTTTTTATCGCCTGGCGAAGTGCGATGTGCACTTGGGCATTATTTTTCGGACGACCACCGGCTTCTGTTTCTGTTTTCTACATCGCTTTCTGTTTCGTTTTATTTTCTGTTTTTCACTGCGCTCTTTGCGCCTTCTTTCTTGCCTTCATGTCACGTCACTTTTTTCATCGCTGGATGACGAAGGCGTTTTGCCCAAAAAAAACACCGAAGAAGCCACCGAAAACTAAAACATTAATGGGCGTACATATTGTGGTTTTTGTGGAGCTTACTTCTCCGATTTCCGATTTTTTCACTCGGTAACAGCGGACAAAATCGTTTGGCGTTGCGGAATTTCTGCGGCGGAGCGGAGAGATCGGAGAATTTTGGAGTTGGCTTCGCTTGGAATCACAATCAGGAATCCGGGGTGTTGGCTGCGGAATGTTTGGTCCTAAGTGCTGCACTTTATGTAACTCCAACTGGCTGGCGATACGCCTCGCTGTTTCACCGCTAATTTGATTGCTAACTATTCCTGAGCGCAGAGCAATTCACTAAAATGAAAATTTCTATTGATTTTTCTTCGCTCTCGCTGCCTGAGTGTGGAGCCATCTAGCGGGCGCGGGTGTAACGATTAGTGTGGCCGAGTGGGAGTACGGCAACTATACCGCAGATACGGCTTCAAGGGCTGGGTGCTGCAGGGCGTTTGAGTTAAGGTGGCGCGGCATAGTTGACTCCCAGATTTAGAGTTTTTTAATGTTTTCTTAATTTCCCCAATATAATAATTATTCATAGTTTATTTTTATGCAAGGTGGGGCTATTACTTTTTTCGCTGTTTCGATTGAGCCCTGCAGCTATGTCGAACTCAATAACTCAAGTCAACACATGGAAATATTATTTGAGTATCGGGTTGACTTAAAAAAATAATAAATTTTATTTATTTTTAACTATGTTTAATTTCCGCTAAAACTTAGCCATTCTTTTTATTAAATGAATAAAATTTAGTGATTTAAAAACAAATATAATGTTAAACATAAAATGCAGGAACTTGTATCAAATAAGAACCCAGTAAGCATATAATTATATCGTTTCATACAATATAACATTCATAACATAATCATATTCTCAATTGACCTAAAATTACAGCTATTTTCTTTAATGACTCAAGCGCTTTTAAACATTAAAAACTTGTCATTTATTGTGTATTATATGATTTTATTATGACTCCTTACAATAAATGAACAAAAATATATATATCAAAAAAATGTTACAGTTAGAAGTAAATTAAGTTAAGTTCAATATTGGTAAAACATGGTTTTAAGTCTCCTGAATATAATTTAGTTGGTTTTTATATAATTTAACTCACTTGCCAAAACTTGTGACGTCACAAAATGCATAAGTGCGCCACCTCGCTCTGCGCGCACCGTCCGATTACTCCGCCATTTTTTTGCGCGTTTCGATTCGTGGTTCTTATTTGTGGAAAAAATATGTGAAATGCTTCTGCGGCAATCAGCGTACTGGCAAAATTGATAGCTCAGGAACAACAGGACACACTAAACGACCAGGAGCAGCTCCGGATTTCGTTGCCTGCGAGGGAAGCGATAAGCGTGCCGAATGCAGACGCATCTGTTACGCAGCAGATTCCAATTTTTGCACCACACAAAAACATAATTGGGATTGAAGATTGGAGATTTTGGAGTGAGCCAGTAGCAGGAGCCCACAGCCGGCAGCCATGAGTTTTTCCAGCGACGAGGTGAACTTCCTGGTTTACCGATACCTGCAGGAGTCGGGTGAGTAAATCACCCCCTTTTAGCGTCGGGAACATGCCTTTATTGTCTCTTCTTTAATCCTCGTTTCCCAGGTTTTCTGCACTCAGCCTACGTTTTTGGCATCGAGTCGCACATATCGCAGAGCAACATCAATGGCGCCTTGGTTCCTCCGGCCGCACTGCTGACCATCCTGCAAAAGGGTCTCCTCTACACCGAAGTAGAGTGGAGCGTGGGCGAGGACGGCGAGGTGGCACGCCCCATAGAGGGACTCTCGCTGATAGACGCCGTCATGCCAGAGGTAAAGCCCCCCAAGCCCATTGTGAAAACAGAGCCGGGAAAATCCGGGACAGTGGACTCCTCCGCCCCCGCAGGAGGCAACCAGAACAGCAACGCCAAGCCAGAGATCAAAATCGAACCGGGCACAGGAGCAGCGGGCGCTGGAGCCGGAAACAAGACCGCCGGCAGCACCACGGGCACCAGCACGCCAACAGATCAATCGGCCAGCGAAGTGGACTCCAGCGGAAACGCAACAAATAACACGGGAGCCACCTACACCGGCAACAATGGAGCTGGAAGCAATCAAGCAAGCACCGCTGGAACCAATAGCACAAGTACCCCAACTTCAGGAGATGCAACAGCACCAGGGGCAGGTCAAAAGAAATCACAGAGCTCGAATGAGGCAGGCAGTTCATCTGGCGGCAATGCGGTTAACGCAAATGCCACCAGCACCGACGATGCAGCCTCCTCCACTTCCACAAATGGCAATAGCAGCACCTCAAGCAGCGTGGAGCAACCCTCAAGCGGGGTTGCGCCCGCCGGCGGCACTGTGTCCACCTCCAATCCTGACGCGGCAGCAGCTGGAGGAGCCTCCACGACAGCAGGAGCCAAGGCGCCCAGCGGAGCGGTAACGATTCGAGTGGGAGCCCAAGGAAACAATGTTCAGACGGGTGCGTCGGCGGCCCAGAACTCAGCGCCTAGTGGAACCATCTCCTCGTCCACCGGTGGAGGCGCCGGAACTCCTGCAGCTCTTGTTCCTATGGATATTGACGAGAGCATCGAAATACCCGAGTCCAAGGCTCGTGTGCTGCGCGGACACGAAAGCGAGGTGTTCATATGCGCCTGGAATCCGAGTAGAGATCTACTGGCTAGCGGTTCTGGGGACAGCACTGCCAGAATCTGGGACATGTCTGATGCGAACACCAACTCTAACCAGCTGGTGCTGCGCCACTGCATCCAGAAAGGCGGCGCCGAGGTTCCCAGCAACAAGGACGTCACCTCTCTGGACTGGAATGTAAGGGGAATTTATTTCTTCCCCCTAAACCATTTATAGTTCTTAATTCCTTTTTTTCTTCCTTATAGTGCGATGGGTCCCTGTTGGCCACCGGCAGTTACGACGGCTATGCCCGGATTTGGAAGACGGACGGACGACTGGCCTCCACTTTGGGCCAACACAAGGGTCCGATCTTCGCGCTAAAGTGGAACAAATGCGGCAACTACATACTCTCGGCAGGAGTGGATAAGACAACGATCATCTGGGACGCATCCACGGGCCAATGCACCCAGCAATTTGCTTTCCATAGTGCTCCAGCCTTGGATGTGGACTGGCAGACAAATCAGGCCTTCGCATCGTGCAGTACGGATCAGCGAATTCATGTGTGCCGGCTTGGAGTAAATGAACCCATCAAGACTTTCAAGGGACACACAAACGAGGTGAATGCGATCAAGTGGTGTCCGCAGGGACAGCTGCTGGCCTCCTGCTCCGATGACATGACTCTGAAGATCTGGAGCATGAACCGCGATCGCTGCTGCCACGATCTTCAGGCGCACTCTAAGGAGATATACACGATAAAGTGGTCTCCGACGGGGCCGGGAACCAATAATCCCAACACTAACCTGATCCTCGCCTCAGCCTCGTTCGATTCCACGGTGAGACTGTGGGATGTGGAAAGGGGCAGCTGCATCCACACGTTGACAAAGCACACGGAGCCGGTCTACTCGGTGGCCTTTAGTCCGGATGGCAAGCATTTGGCTTCCGGCAGCTTCGACAAGTGCGTTCACATTTGGAGCACGCAAACTGGACAGCTGGTGCACAGCTACAAGGGCACTGGCGGCATCTTCGAGGTCTGTTGGAACTCTAAAGGAACTAAGGTCGGCGCCAGCGCCTCCGATGGCAGCGTTTTTGTCCTGGATTTGCGGAAGTTCTGATCTCCCGAAGAGCCGCTGCTGGATTTCGTCTATTAAGCAAACGCTTATATTCGACAGGTGCCCATTTTCAACCCTTAATTTGGTGGACATTGAATCGATAAAATTTCACTTGCCTTAGAACATGATTTAATTTGGATTTACATTCACAAATTACATTTTCATGGAGAGTTAAATATTATTGTTTCAAATTTTCCCAACATTAACCTGTTTGAAGCTGGAATCCGGGCTGTATGTAACTCCTTTCTTAGCTATCCCGCCCTGCAATCTGTATTTGTAATTGCTTTAAGTTCTAATTAGCTCTTTAAGGTTAAACTCTTGAGATCCTTCTGCTTTTGTCCACGTCTTTTTTGTACGCTTAGTCCTGAGTCACACAAAACGAGATGCGCCTCAGATTTAATGGGCTCCAACTTGGTTGTTGTTCCCTTCTAATCAGCGGGATGCGACTCGGTTCTTTTTAAACTTAGTTTTAAGCTCTATGTTTCTAAGGTCGTCCTTTTTTATACAGAAATCGTTTAGTATAACTTTATGCATTTTGTAATTGTGTCGATCGAAGATGCCAGCCACAACGCCCCTCCCAAATCCTTAAACCAACCCATCATTTTACTTTTAAGATGATTGGATATCAAACGAGATCAGATCGGACCGATTCACGCATACATTCAGAACAGTGTAACTGCAGCCCCACGTAGTCTGTAAACGAACATAATCCTAAGAACCCAAGATTGGCGAAAACACAAAAACATCTGCAAAATCCATTAAAGATTAAAATTAAATGAAGTTTTTTATTTTGGCTAGTGCGGGCTTTAAGTTTTGGTTTTTGTCTGAATCTGAAGAAAACAAAGGATTATAAGATGAAGCTATTGAAGTAAATTGGGAGATCACAAAATCTATAAATCTGGATTATATATTTACACCCGGTAAAGGTAGAGTAAAAGTTTATATAGTTTTCGTTGAAAAGTATGTAAAAGGTAGAAGGATGTGTTTCCGACTCTATAAGGTGTATAAATTCTTAATCGGAATCAAAAGCCGATTTGAACTAGCTATGACCGTCTGTATGAACGTTGAAATCACGGAAACTACACATTTGGTTTTTAGTGTATATCATATTTGAACTTTATTAGCTCGCATACATTTTACTTAAAAATAAACTATGTAGGTAAGAGAATTAACATTAAATTAGACGGTTTTTCAAAGACTAAGGCAATATTTTACAACTATATTTCCTAAAAATCCATGACATTTCCCAGATGTCGTTGCTTGAAGAAGCGGCACTCATCGCGGATCACCTCGCCGGATTTGGTTGTGCCTTTAAAGAATTTGGTAAGCTTGGTGCCTGCATACTTGGGTTTATCGGTGTCCGGCTCGTCGAATTCCATGTCGTAGGCCTTGTCCGCCAAAGCGTTTTCCGCCGTGGACCAACTGAAGCGCACGAGGCGAGGAAATCCAAACACCAAATCGATGTGGTCGGCCAGAAATCTCTTGGTGACCGGATCTCCAGGATAGCCACTTCCGAAGGCATTGTCCTTGATGACCAAACCCTCGGGGAATTTCCAAACTTTGAGGGCATGATCACGGGTGACCTTGGCGCATATACTGGCTGCCGAGACAATGGGATAGGTAGAGTCAGCCTTCTTGGCCACGGTGATCTTGAAGCTGGGGAAGCGCTTGAGCAGCTTCTCCTGGTACTTTTCCGGCGGACCCACTGTGTCCACATACACTTCTGCTATATTAACGCCTGCATCGATCGCCTGTTGGATCAAACCCATGGCAGAGTCCATGGAAACCTCGTTCAGGGAGCACTTGGATCGCCGATACATGCTTGTGCTGATCGTATTCGGCGATATGATCTCCACGGCCCACCCTATGCAACTGGTGGCATATTCTTTAGTGTTTATATCGTTGAATATGACATCCCGTTTTTCCTCGGTCAATTGTTTGGAATCGGCGCATCCAAGATCCTCGAGAGCCTTTTTGCTATCAAGCGGACAGTACGAAATTCCATATACCATGGGTCCCAGAACAGGACCACGCCCCGCTTCGTCCACGCCGAGCATGCAGGGTTTATCCTTGCAAATATCCGGGACATCACTCAGATAAACCGTATTTCGGCTGTTTTCCTTGGCGGCTATAAAGGGTCCCAGTGTTTTCAGGGAGCTGATTCTGCAAGTGTCCTTTATATCCCCATCTTCATGCTTTTTGTCTTTCTCGTCTGTATCATGCACAGTCTGGTTTTCCTGCTTGATTTCTATATCTTCTTGGTCCGACATCTTTGCGCGCCTTTTTTATTGTTTACTTATAACATAGATCATAGTGTGCCCAAGCTTACCGCACAGATTGCAGGGTGACCATATATTAGGGCTGAAAATAAATAGTTCAGCTTAATAATGACTATATATAGAAAAAAAAAAACCACTTGCATATAATCGGCCTAGATATTAATGTTTTCACCAAATTCATTCTCTGTGTACCATATATGCATTCCTACAATAGTATTTAACTTTTTGATTTATTACCTTTTTCTTTAATGAAAATTCATTATTTTTGAATAATTTGATAAAACTTAGTTCATAATTATTATTTTTGATTAAAAAACAAATCAAATATATTATATATCAATGTTTCAATGTTTAATGTTTCGCTCAAAATAAAACTCATTTGTACTCTGCAGCTTCTGTGTTACGTATCCTTGTAATGAGATCACAAAAGTTTACCCAGAATTTACATTGTTTTCTACTTAAAACTAAAATTGGCTTAATTATTTTTTATGTTTTATTTTTGGCAATTAAAAATTAATTAAATAATTATTATTTACAATTTTTAAAAACTTTGAAAATTTTGGTTGTAGTTTTGTAAGACCTTAACAAGGATATGAAACAAGATTTGTACAAAATCTAACAAAGATTCATTTGGACCCCGTTATTGAGTTATTGAGTCCTTATCAGTCGAGGCCTTACGAGTTTTATTTTGAATTTAATTGAATTAAGTCTTAGAATAAAAATATCCCAGGAATATTTAAGTGATCCTAATACAAGGATATGAAAAGATTGGTCCAAGAAATTAAAGAAATTAAATTTAGTAATTAGCATGTAATATTTGGTGTATAAGTTAAAATAATTACAATCCCTGGAAATACATTTAGCAATATACATAACCTTTCGTTGAATACCCCAAATATTATCCATACTCTCGTGATGCTATCGACCATAGCTCCACAACCGGTTCAACGATAAGGTTATCGATGTTTTAACAGTTTCTATTCCATCTCTACCTTTTCCATCTCTTTCCGGTTTAGGATTTTGACCAGCGTGCTTGTTCTCGTCCCGAGCTAAGGCCATTTGTTATAAACAATTAATTTTTGGCAACTTGCACAATCAGTGATTAGCCACAGCACTTCGACATGTCCACCAAAGCTGAGCTCGCCTGCGTCTACGCCTCCTTGATCCTGGTCGATGACGATGTTGCAGTCACCGTAAGTTTTCTGTTCCGTGGTCCGCGAATCCTTCAAATCCCAAGCCATCGGGCATAGATATTGGATGATTTGCGGGTCCTACGAGAAAGCGAGCTACCCATTTATATGTGATAATAATATTTCTTAATTCCTAACAGGGCGAGAAGATCAACACCATTCTGAAGGCCGCCAACGTCGAGGTGGAGCCCTATTGGCCCGGCCTCTTCGCCAAGGCCCTGGAGGGCATCAACGTCAAGGATCTGATCACCAACATTGGATCCGGAGTCGGTGCCGCCCCCGCCGGAGGTGCTGCCCCCGCAGCCGCCGCCGCTGCTCCAGCCGCCGAGTCCAAGAAGGAGGAGAAGAAGAAGGAGGAGGAGTCCGACCAGTCCGACGACGACATGGGCTTCGGTCTGTTCGATTAAGCTGGCTGACACCGGAATCCCCTAGAGACCTTCTAGACAACCTGACATCCGTTGTGTTTGTGCTCTAATCCTCGAGTGGTGAACGTGTACCATGTTTCCCGACCTGCGTACACGTTTTAATGTACAAATTCGAGGAAATATAGAAGACGTTTGCTAAAAAAAAAGTGATGGTTGTCTATTTACTAGAACGGTGCTGATTTTTTGTATTTTTTGGAGTAACCTCATATTCATTCTCGTATAGTGAAATCCCTTAGGATATGAATATGGATCCTCTTCAAAGAAAAATCAAATGAGATAGAGGTTGCCCATAAATAATGACAGGTACTTTTTATCTGTTGAATTGTCTTTATTTTCATAAATAGGGAAAGGTTTTTATACTTTTTAAAGTACTTTTCGTATCGCTTGATATTTAAATATGCAGTTCTGGGAAATATGCGATATACAACGATGGAAAGGCTGAACAATTTAATCTTTGTACAAAAACATTGTCATATAGCAAGTGTTTATTAATTGATAAGAATGTAAACTAGAAGATCATCTCCTCAAGCACCTTGGCCAGGGCTCTCAGATTGGGTCCGTCGATCTGTTTGAGACCCAGTCCCACCACAAATTCCGAGGGGCACTTGTGGAGTCCGGTTCTGTTGACTAAGAATTGGATGGCGCTGCGAGTCTCATCTGTATCCAAGCCCAGGCAACAGTTCATCGTTATGGGCACCGACACGTGAAATTCCGGATTATCCACGGGTCCATGGAGATAGGGAATCACTCGTTCATCTTTTTTGACATCGAAGTGCACATTGTAAATGCCAGGAATCTTGCCCAGTTGGGTTACCACTAGGAACCACTTGTTGGCGAATCCATGGAACACTATCTCCGTGGGTACACCGTTTACATTTACTGAGAATTGCTGGTTGAATCCGATTTCACGGGGTATATCTAGTGCCGGGGTCATTTTTTTGGGTGAAATTCGAAATTGTATACAATGAGACAGCAAGAAGTGTGACCGCAGTGTGTAAATTTAAAAATACTAGCATAACTTTTTTTCAGCAGATGCCGCCACTTGACAACTGTCTTTATTCAATTTTATAGGCAATGCTCTCTGTCGGAAAAATTTTGAACTATATATAGCACCGATAACTATCTGCCTATAAAATTGCAGTTTCTTATCGGATTTGAATTAAATCGTAAACATTTGCTCGAGAAAATAGTACAAAAACTAACGAGTTTAGTTAATAAACTAAGTTTTGTAAAATTCTCACACATTCCCATGTCATTTGGCTTCTCTTACCGAGTTTTAATTTATTTTCTGGTTACCAAGGTTACTTTTGTTTGATCTATAAATAAAGTTAATAAAACAGAGATGTCTTCATGCATTTGTTTGGGTCCCAAAAGGGCCGGTAAAACGCACCTGCTGAAAGCTTTACAAGACCCAGATTCCATCGATGAGACGACTTACTCAATGCCCACTATTGGAACTGGAATCTATCGCATCCATTTCCCAACAAAATCGCCCCACGGGGATAAGCCCAGGCCCCCACCTGCAGATACGCAGGTAAACATACCGCATGGTGGGAAAAATCTTCCCAAGTCCATACAGATCCTGGAGATCGGTGGAAGTATGGCTCCCTTGTGGCGGCAGTACTTCGAGGACGTCAAGAAGCTGGTTTATGTGGTGGACACATCCAATCTCTGCCAGATCTCCGCCGCCGGTGTTCTTTTCTATTCAATCCTAACCGAGCCGCGCCTGCAGAAGGTCAAGATCCTGTTGGTTTTGGCCAAAATGGACTACTCCTACCGCCAGATGCGGAATGAGGCTCTGCTCATGCTGCAGATGTCCAAGTTGCAGAAGCAGATCCGCCAGCAGGTGACCATTGTGGAGGCCAGTGCGGTTACCAAAGTGGGACTGGATCCCATATACAATTGGCTGCAGATGCCCTAAAAATAAATTCATCGCAATTGAAATGAAATATAAATAGTAAACTAATTCTTCTATCTTCAAAAATTTTTGTATTTAGCATGTTATTTGTCTTGTTTTTCCAAAAATATTAGACTTACTATGGAATATTTATAAATTATTAACAAGATTTCTTTGTATGTTTCAATATTAATAAATGTGTTGTTCTTGTAACATATGTGTATTTAAGATAATAGAATAAATTGAAATATTTCCTAAAATATGCCAGCAAATAGTTGATTTCTTTGTTTACAATTGAAACATTTCCCAAAACTTATTTTCCCATGAGTAGTAGATGCTTCCGGGAAATCGAGTCGAGCAAATAGTTTCATATATTACCTACATGGGCAATTAACTTTTAATGATTTGAACTTAAATTGGAATTAGAATGCCAGGTAGATTCACAGGGTGTGGTCTAGCCAGAATTGTCCCAACAGGGACAAGAACAGTCGCACTGCAAAACCAATTAATGTTTTGGCCTACCAGGTCTCCATGGCAATCAATTCGTACTGCGAGCCAAACAGAACCGAACCGGAAGACCCTTTCTACGTGGCGCATATGTATATGTACATATATACCTGCCACAGGCCAGTCGATTCAGAACACAGAAAACCGCAGCGGAGGAATCAACAAATTAAGTCCCGGTGAAAAGAGGTAGGCGGGAGGTACTAGTTATGGGCATAGAAAAATTAGATGGCATGCAGACGAGCCAGGAACTAAGACCAGATTCGGTCCCAGACGAATCCGCAGTGGCGGCGAGGAAGGACAAGAACGGCAGGAAGCAGAGGCAGCAGCCACATTCCTGATGTGCCTGGATTTCGGCTTTCGAGGGGCAGAGGAATGACACGCATCCGGTTTTAAAATTCCAGTGATCAAAACGCAGCAAAATAACCCGAAAAAAACGAGCAAAACCAAGAAATTCAAACACTTGAATCGGACACAGATACACATTGCACAGAAAAAAATCAAATGCATTAAGTATTTAAAAAGTAAAAAAAAAAACTTAAATACAATGTTTGTAGCACTGGGTTAATATTTTTTAGAAATTTATATTCTATTAATTGAACAACAAATATAATTTTAAAACCTTTTCTTTTTAGGCGGAATATAAAATATTTTGTGCAGAACATTTTCCCAAGTGTAACGGCAGAAAACGAAGGACGCGAATCGATGGCGACGGCGACGCTGGAGCTGGACTACTTCAGGGCGGTGTCCCTCTACCGCCGCCGCTCCTACGAGCGCTGTGCGGAGCTGTGCAACGCACTCCTGCAGGCCGGTCACGATGGCCATGTCCAACTGTTCGCAACCAAGGAGGAGGAGGAGGTGGAGCACCAGCCGCAGCAGCAGCAGCAGCAGCAGGCGGAGCACAGCAGATTCGGTAGCAATTTGCAACGCATTGGCCCCAGGCCAAGAGCAGGAGCAGGAGGACCTGGGGCCGGCGACTCTGGGGCTTCCATGATGATGCCCACTTGGCTGATGGAGGGCGTGTGGCAATTAAAGATGCGTGCCTTAACGCAGCGCGTCTTCCTGGACGATCTGGAGGTGGATGAGGACGGGGACGAGGGTGAGTAGGTGACAATCTTCGGGGTATTTTAAATATTCTTTACACTTTATATTAAACCTTAAGCACCCACTAGTTAGAACGATTTCTAATAATATTTAACCCCCAATAAGTGCGCTTTCTTCGTTCGTTGAGAAAGTCAGCGTTTTGTGCCTTTTGTCATAAAGTCGCGACTTAAATTAAATTTGTATTATTATAAGTGCCTAAAAAAAGGGGATATTCTTGTAGCATTAATGATCCAATGAAAATATAAACAAAATCAAAAATGTACGACTTTTTCAGCCAACGAGGAAGTCGAGTTCGAGCGTATAGCCACGGCCGCTCGACCGGGGAGCAGCATAAAGACCGCTTTCCAGCCACGCCCCCTCACCAGTCAAAGGGCGCAGCAGGCAAGGAGCAGGGGTTTCGGGGTGGCCCACTCCAGCGACGGTCGCCTAAACAGTTCTAGACCAGGATCGGCGGCTGTGGCTCGACCGGGAACGAGTCTCAGTCGACCTGGATCCTCCTTAGGAGGCGGTGAAAGACCCGCGTCCCGTTGCGGCACTGCCTCCAGAATCCGAGCCACCTCGGCAGCGGCCTTCAATGTGGGTGATGCCACCGCCAAGCTGTACCAGGCATCCCGTCTCAATCCCACCATCTACGCCGAACGAGAGACCCTGGTCAAGGCCCTGTTCCAGTTCCTCTATTACCACGAGGCCGATGTGCAGAAAGCCCACTCCTTGTGTCAAGCGGTTCTGGAAGTCCAGCGACAGAAGCCCAGCGGATCCACGGCATCCAACCTGTCTTGGTGGTGGCAACAGCAGATGGGTCGATGCTTCTTGGCCCTCCACTATCCCCGAAAGGCGGAGCCCTTTCTTCAGCAATCCCTGGCCACCTTTCCCCATCCGGATACCTATTTACTGCTCTCCAGACTTTACCAACGAATTAAGCAGCCTGAAAAGGCTTTATTCTTGATCAGCGAAGTGGTGGATTCGCGACCTTTTGATGTCACTTATCGTCTGGAGCAGGCGAGGATTCATCAGGCCATGGGCCAACAGGAGGATGCACTGCAGCTGTACAGATTAGTGGCAAAATTGCAGCCCATCAATGTGGAGTCTTTGTCCAGCATAGCCGTGGGTTACTTCTACGACAACAATCCGGAAATGGCAGTAAAAACCTTCAAATAGGGATAATTAGACATCTTATTGATCAATTCATTTCCACATAGCTAATGTACTACCGGAGAATTTTGTCTTTGGGAGCCCATTCGCCTGAGCTCTACTGCAATATAGCATTGTGTTGCCTGTATGGCGGGCAAATAGATTTGGTTTTACCCTGTTTCCAAAGGGCTTTGGCCCTCGCCACTCAACCAGAGCAAAAGGCGGACATCTGGTACAATCTCAGCTTTGTATCGGTGGTAAGTAGTGTGCGCCTCTCTTCCAATTGTAATTAATAGATAATCCTTAAGCTCTCGAACAATATGATTTTTACGAAAAATGTTTAACTACTTTAAATTTGTTCTTAATCGCATCTATGTTCTGAATAATATTAAAAAGTCCTTCGAGAATACAATCATTTATTTTCTTTATTTTAGACCTCTGGTGACTTTAATCTGGCCAAGCGATGCCTTCAATTAAGTCTTACTTCAGATGCCCAAAATGGAGCTGCTCTTAATAACTTAGCTGTATTAGCAGCCCAAGGCGGCGATATTATGGGAGCCAAGTCCTATCTAAATGCAGCCAAGGATGTGATGCCCGAAGGTTCAGAAGTGTCCTTCAATCTGCAGTTTATGGATGCGCACTACAAGCTGTGAACTTAAGGAGAAATCATTATGGGGAGTTAAATATATATTTCACATTTATAAATTGTACATTTATGTTTTCGAAAAGGTTATCTATCTCAAACGGTCTATATCGAAGACCTTTAATAAATAAGGAATTGATAGCTTTAATCAAATTTGTCTGTTAAGAGAGGAATTGCAGGTGCTAAGTGCCAAGTACTTGTTAACTGTACGCGATGAATGACTTTCATTTTCCTTTCGTACCTCGGTTGCGGTCAATGCAAATGGATTCATGTTGCGAAATGTCTTAGACCCCAGAAACACCCACCAATTCTCCCCGCTCTAAGTATTTCAATTAGCGGACTCAGCAGAAAAGCTTCGGCAAATGTTGTGCAAAAGTCCAACTAGAATCGTGGAGCTTGTGGAATCATTATGCAGGTATATAGCCATTTGTCAGGTGTTCAGGTCAGCAAATCTGCTGATGCTGGAGCCAAAGAAGGTCTTCTGGCGGGGAGTGTCCCACTACCCCAACAACTCCGCCTCCTCGCCTTCTCTTTGTTTGACTCGAACAAATGATAACCGCCAAATATTTGTTGATAAATGTTTGAATATTAAATGAGCAACGTCCGACGACGTTGAACTCATCGCGCTGGCATGCATAAGCCAAATATTTATCAGCCTAGAAGGGGCCAGACTAAAGAAATACTGATTTCCCAGTTCTACGGCTCTAGTAGTTGGGGAATACAGATCCCACGGTTCGGGGGCCAAGATACTAATCGAAATTTGAATAACGCTCTCGAGTTACCAGTGGCTTCAAAAAATCTTACAGCTCACACACTATTAAGAACAATAAATTCCATGAATTAGAGCTGTGCCTCCTAATACAAAACTCGAAAATAATATTAGCACAATGTGGGCCAACGAATTCCGTGATAATCGGAAATAATATATAATATTTGTAGTGATTGAATTAAACCTTATTTTTATTTACTAGTTGTATTAAAGAAGGGCCATTTGCTTTTATTACATTTTAAAATGTTTTTCAGAAAGTGACTTACAAAAACAGTAGACCATCATGTTTGCCTATTTTCAAATGTTTAATGCAAATCGAGATACATTTTGCTGTCGTGTATATACATGTTATTTGTATCTGTATCTACACATCTACCGGTATCTCTATCTCTATCTTGTATTTGCTCATTTCCGTTTTCGAGGAGAGTTTCGTTTTCTTTTTGGCATTGAATTCGCGTTGACTGGGCTTATCAGCCTTTGGGTCAAAATGCGTCAGCGTTTGCGAGCACTTGACGGATTTTTTTCATTTTTTATCACAGACTTGCCAGCGACTTGCAGCACTTTTTTACTATTCACCTGCCCCTCAAACGAAGTGACTAGTTAATCGTTGGCGGATTCGCCCCGTCCGGCAGCAGGTGCCTCCAAAGTGTCAAGATGATCTCGTAACGCGACTCTCAATAAGCCAGCCACACCTGACAGCTGCAGATTGAGTTGTGTTGAGTCGAGTCGCGAAAAGAATTTCGCCGGGGCTCCCAGATACTCCAGATATTTCAGACACCCCAGAACCAACCCAAGACCACCCCTCCGCACGAAACCCTCTTTCCCCGGCCTGCACAAGCTGAATGAACTGAAATGTGAACAGTTGCAGCTCCTAATATAATGCTTTTTAGATCAGTTGAGATCAAACTAAAATCTACTCAATATCATCCCCAAAAATCTAAAGATTTTAAATCACCGTAATAGTTATCTAAAGATGAACTTTAAAATCTATAAAAATGTCTTTGCTTGTATACCAAAGCTTAATATAAATATTCTAAGGTTTTAACGTCTATCGGCTTATACATTTATTTATAAGGAAACGTGTGTCATGTGTGAAATTGTATATGAACCTATGTACATATGTACATTCCTCACCTTCCACACGCCTCTGTTTAAACAAGTGTTTTTTCTGCGGTTGTTTCAAATACTCCCCAAAACTGTGTTACCATAATAATCAAGGCACCCAACCCCCGGTTGTGTCCGCTCTTTAACCCATGGGAACCAAATACTTCACCGCCAATCCATTGATAGCCGAGGAATCGATGTCTAGGTTGGATGTGGGTAGACCGCAAGAGCAAAAGCACCATCATTTTCGCCGTTTGACATGGAGATGCAGCTTGGCTGCCCCGAGTCTTTCCTACTTTACCCCCCCGATTTATCCCATCCCCCAGCCCATATAAAAGATCATTAAAAGCATAAAAAAAGAGTAACCAAGCAAGGCACCAGCTACTGTACGGACCTTGGTTGATTTTGTCGATTTTTAGTTGCCACACATCCCCCTCCACACAATGTTCCTCCATGTTCCCGGGGAAAAAATCTCCTCCGAAGGAAGAAAAGCACAAGAAAGACCGAAACAGGTAAGTCAACAACAGCCAAGCAATTTGCACTGCGGAAAAATTGTATTGGTTTGTATTTAATTCTGGCAGTCTTAAACTTTAAACTAACAATCCATTTGTACTGATTTATAAAACGCTTAAGGCCTAAGGAATTTGGTAGAGTAGGATTTAGATAAGACGAGAAAGCGGGTCCAAATTAATATCTTGGTTATATTCGATTTTTATTAAGCTTCGTTAACAACTTTAAACTAAAATCATTTTTAAGTATTTTTATTTGCTTCAAGTGTCTGAATATTGTTTAAGGACCTAATTACACTTTGTTACATTTCATATCAAGCAGTTTTTTAGTGTATACATCCGTTCTGGCTGCGCACGCGCGATCTTGACGTCGGCGTCCTCTGCTGCGTTCGGTTGCCTTAATAGTGTGTGTGTTTTGTTTCCTTTTTTTTGGGCCTTGGGGCCTTGGCAGCCTCGAATCTCGTGCCTCATGTTGCCCTTCTTCTTGCTGTTAGCCGGTATTTACTGGGTAGCAGAGGAGGGACGTCTAAACAGGAGCTTAGCATATTAATATTACTAACAGTTTTTGAAGTTCTGAAAAAGAATTGAGGTGAGTTGCTCAGAGACAAATTTAGAGCAGGCAGCATTCAGGAGTTGTGACTTAAAAATATTTTAAAATTTTGCTGTACAGTATTTCTTGTATATTTTCATATTGTTCCACCCATTTAAATTTATATTCCCGAGACTTAAAATCCGTAAAGAAATTTGGTGCAGCTTGGATAACAAAGCTTATCTCTATAATTCCACAGTTTTTGGGTAAAACCAAGTCGAGTGCGTTCCTGTGAACTGTTGCTGCTGCTGATGATGATGACGATGCTAAAGATTGCAATCACGTTGCGCGCAGCGTTCAGAATTTGTATCTGCAAGATACATCTGCGACTCCTCGACTCCCTGCTCCCTGAATTTCATTTCACTGGAATTTATTTAGAACACATTGTTGCTGCTGCTGTTGGATGTTGCTGTTGCTGCTGTCGATGTTGCTACCGGGGGCTTAGCAGGACCAGCAGAAACACAGCAGCAACATGCTGCATTCCAAAGCCCAAAAAAGGCAAATCCCAAGCTACAGCAGCGGCAAAATCGATTGGCAGCCTGAAATTTCATTGCAGTTTAGTCGGATTCCCGCTCGCTGACTAAAAATTGAGAGAAACGAGAGAGAACAGATCAGATCGGTTCGAATAAATTGAATCGAATCGAATGAGATGCAATAGAGTCTCGATGCCGACTGGAAATGGAGTGAAAGTAGGGTAGGCAGATTAGACTCTGCTTTGAGACTATGTCTTCGACTCTTTAGATGGGATCTGACTCCAACTTGCGAATCTGTAAACACATCCCAGACACTATTGAAAAAATACTTTCATGTTATTATTTTACCATTCTATTTTAAACAGTGATATATTATGTGGTGTTTAGGTAATTCGACTATTTGTAACCCAATTTTTAATGGAATCATGTTTATGGATTTATTTAAAAATGTCATTAGAAAATGTGGAATTGTCTGGTAAAAGGTTTAGACTTTAAAGTTTAACTATTTTTATCTTTTAAAGTCATTATCGCAATCCTGACATTTCTAGAATATTTACAATTTTCTCCAAGCGCACAGCATTCCACATTTCACATAAACAAACCTTCAAGGGGCAGGAAAAGGTCAGAGTTGAAATTATAGCTTGGTCCGAGCAATCAACTGTGGAATTACACCCATTCACCCACCTTATATCCCCTACCCAAAACTTATTTACTTTCAGTGACAACAACAACGAAGCACAAATGCCAACGTTCCGAATAGGAAGTAAGTTAGTGTAACAAAAGTAATAAAAATACCTGGTACGATGATGGGCTGAGCACGAAGTGGTGAAAGAGGGGGTCTCCATTAACATTATCGTGGCCAGCAGAAATATTTGACCATAATAAAAAGAATACAAAGCGAATCGAATCGAGCAGCGAATCGAAGTGGAAACACAATCGTCTACTCATCGAAACTTACGATACCCTTTATCGAGAGTGATAAGGTGTACGGTGGGGCTAAACTGCATGCTTAGGATTGGCAATGGAGCAAAGGACTACAAATGTCCTTAATTACACACAATTAATTACATCCTGTAAATTGTAAGGAAACTGCTGTACATTTAGATTCCAAGAGTAAACTGCGGAATTATCCTATTAAGAAACATCTTTTTAAAGCGTAGACACTGCTTATTGTAAATGAAATCGACAGGATAATTGGTAATTAATAGTAGCCGGAGTTATCGATACTATCCTTAAGGGCAAAGAGATTCAGCGGTTGTAGAGAAGAAGATTACCAATTCAGACTATCCCTAGTAGCTGCAGTACTCTGCAAGAAAGGGTAGAAAGTATGCGACAATCGGCGATATCGACAAGCGTTCGACTGCAATGAAGCGTAACGAAACACATCAGAAACAGCAACACATATGCACCACTTCAGAGGGTTCGGACCCGCGTCATATGCCAACTTATTCAATAAATTCCAGGCCTTCTTGCCATATCATCATCGCCAACCACTTTTGGTTCTGGCCAAAGCCGAAAAACCGAGGAATTTTGAATAGAAAGAGGATCAATAGCAGCTGCTCTTGGCTAAAAGATCATTTTGTCAAACAAAAAGAAGAAAAAATGAAGGCCAGAATGCGCGCCAATTCCGCAAGAGAGATTCTGGATCCGGAGTTTGGAGGCTGAAATCGACTTCAAGGAATTGCATAAAAAATCTTGCTTCTTTCTTTCTTTTTTCGCTCTCCTCGCTGCGGTCGAAACTTTGGCCTCGACCAGGCTCCAAACCTCTCGCACAGACACAACTATATAGAAGGTATATCTACACAATGTTGACCAAGAACGTAGCGCCCAAAAGGCAGCTTACAGCAACAACAACAACCGGTCTTAGAGAACCAGCCACCAAGCGATCGACCAAAGACGAAAGAATAACGAACGGCAACAAAAAAAAAATAAAGGAAAAAACAAGAATGAAAAGCTTTGGCTCCAAGAAGTCGAAGATGAAGTTACTCTAAGATACTCGATAGTATTTCGGTATCAAGCTTTTTCAAAAGTTAGATGTAATTTTAGATTTCATATTTAAAATTTGTATTACTGTATACTATCATTAATATGATTTAACTCTTTATGTTTGCAAAATTTGTGTTTAGACCATCGAAAATAGAGTATATATAACACAGCAAAACGCATGGTACACTCAAAGAAATCGAAGGCTATGCAGAAAGTTCCCATCGTTCCCCCGCCTCCCGGCTTGCCCCGCCCCTTTGCCGCCTCCCCTGACTTCAGTCAACAAGAAGACGACCCGACCCCGACACCGACCCGTCAAGAACGTGCTCTCTCGATTCTCGACTCTCCGATTCCAAGTCTTACTCCGACTTCTGAGCAAGGGCGTAGCCACAAAACTTAGCTTAACTAAATAATTGATAAGTTGTCACTTTGGCATAGGGACCCATTTTTTATTAATTTAGTTTTTCCCGAAAATGTAGATTTTTTTTCCTTGAATAGTCAAAAAGTTCCCTCTTTTCGCCGCCCCTTGAGGGGCGTGTGTAAGCCGCATATTTAAAGCAGAAGCAGAAGGAAAAAGGGGGGCGGGGGAGAAAAAGCTAAAGCAGAAGAAGGGAGCAACAGAAAAAGGAAAACAAAACCCACGAAATAAATAATTTCGAGTGCGAGAGAGAGAGAGAGAGATAGTAAGCTATGCTGAGGAATGCGCCCAAGTGACGATATCGTAGCAGCAGAGGACGCCGGCTGAGGCAGGGTCTCCAGACCCTCCGACCCCCTCTCCGTCTATTTGGGGCTCTGGCCAGGGAGTTTATTTTTAAGATACCCTCATCGATAGCCATACAAACGCGATGGGATACTAAAGGTTTGATTTGAATTCTGCAAGCTTTCAATGGTTTTATGATGCCCCATAATTGTTTACGATTATGGCCACTTTGTGAACTTTGTAAGGTCTAGAAGTCGGCTAAAGAAAGAAAATTAACGCTGTGATAACTAGGTTTTGAAATGATTTAACTTGTATCTAAAATTCTTGAAACAATTACTTTTTTTTAAGTGTTTAAGTGTATCCTCAAAAACCAAAACGACTTCCTTTGGTATAAATAAATATTATCGCATTACTTACTTATATTTAATCCCGCCTTAAGTTTTAAAGTCTTGAGCCAAATTGTTTTCATTATGTTTATCCATTAGTGGGCTGCAAATCTGATTGATATGAATCTTAGGTACCCCCATTTGAACCTAGCAACTTTACAGGGTACCATTTGAGCCCTTGAGAATCGTTAGCTCCTTGATTTTGCCTCCAAAGGGTTCCACATTCCAGTGGCTGTAGAAGCCCCTTTCCATTCTACCCCTTCCCCTTCGGCTTCTCGCGAGATAAACCATTGGAATTCCACTCACACTCGCAATGGCATAACACACACACACACAAAAAGTTGGCTACTGGGATTCTCCTTTGGAATTTGTTTTTCTTTTATTGCTATTTACATTTTCAGTGACTGTTGTTGTTGCTCTTGGATTTGTGTTTTTCTTTTCGTTTTTTGAGATAGATGTAACTGTAACTGTGTGTGAGTATTTTTTTTGTTTTTTTTTTAAACGTTAACGACGATCTCTTTAGCTCTCTATTGCTCTCTCCCTATCACTATCGTCGCATTCCAATCTCAAATCTCACCAAGTGCTCTCTTTTCTGCTCTCTTTTCGTTAAATTCGTGGTTCGTTCAGTTTTGTAATCTTAGCGAGCGGCAATTTTTTTACCTGTGACGCTCAAAATCATAAATGTTTTTGGTTTTTCAAGATTTTTTCAAATTAAAAAAAGATACATTAATTTTCCTTTAGTACCACCTGCCAGAATATTGATCGAGTGACATTTGTCACTTGCTGAAAAGTATTTTTAGATAAGTCAACACGACACAGAAGATTGCGATAAGATACTCACTGGTTAAAAAATAGCATATGCTTTAGACAACTTTCATTTATTAAAATGGCGTTTATAATTCTTTGCGAGTTTTATAATTTAAATTAAAAACATTCATAGTAAAGTAAGCTGTCCCGTTTTTTAAGTAAATGTATAAAATTTAGTAAATCCCTAATTTCGATTAAATTGAATTTAAAATGAATACTTGTCCATTAAGTCGTTTGGTATACTGAATATCTAGTTGACTTTTTCAAATTAAATAAAAATGTATCTTATTAAATTAAAAGTTTTGTAGCTGTCAGCAAAACTTTTAAGATCCCTTTTCAGAATGATTAAAAAAATGTAAGTATTAAATATTATTTTTAGTTTTAAAAATTTGTAGACTCTCTCGAGCTCTCGCGCTCTCTCTCTCTCTCTCTCTCGCTTACTTGAAGTCTGCGCTCAGGCTTCGTTGAGTTTTTCTCCGAAAAAATCTATTTAAGCAACCTCGCCTGCTCACTCTCCCAATCTTCCAGCAGCGCGCTCGTCGAGGTTCGCGGACAAAGCAACTCCGGTTCTTACGCACTCTGCTAGTTTTCACTCCATGTTAACGATTCCACTCCACGTCAACGGTAACCGAAATGATCGCCGGGATAAAAAAGCATGTGGCTTCCACTAAAAATATGAATATAGTTTAATCAATTTACTCGAACCTTTCGGAAAAGTTAATCTGCAGATTGCGCACTTACACACTTGCTTGTTCAGATACGGATACACACACACACACATGTACGCACACATAGATACAGTGGCTCAAAAGTGAAGTTCGCTGTTCACTGAAACAAAAAAAACAGCGCGTTTCGCATTCGCTTAAATTACAAAAGTATTTTTGTTGGAGTGTGCAACTAGTGCTGTTTTTGGGAAAACGCGCCTTAAAGCCACGAAAATAACTCCGACTTGCTGAGATCAACTCAAAAACCAACTCCAAAAAGTTGGCGCTGGTCCAAAAAAAACAACCAGCTACACCAACAACTGGCCACTGGAAACTACAACAAATAAAGCAGGCAGCAGCAAAAACAAAAACAACAACCCAGCAAACGGCATTCTTTCGCGCAACAACAACGACTCCGAAGAGAGAGCAAACACACACAGATACTGCTCTCCCGCGCGTGTGTGTATCGTAGTGTGAGTGAATTTTGATTAAAAAAATTGTGCGCTCTCCCTCTCCCACACTCAGCCCCACAACCCCCAGCCCCTCCCCCTTCCAACGACTCTGGAATGCGGCCCGTTTGCTGTTGACTGCGCAGTCGCAGCGCACGTCGAGGAAGAGGTCGGAGAACAACAAAAACAACGCAAACGAAACGAAAATTTTACTGTTAGGCATTCATCGATAGCCGAATCGATAGATTTATACAAAAGTGTATAAAGAGTGGGCTAAAAATAATTATAACTACAACTTAAAAACTCAATTTTTGTGGATTACGCGAAACATCAGCAGAAGCAGAAACAATGCCGACATTTGCACCGGCTTAAGGTAAGAAAGGAAAATGTATATAAAGTATACGTATATACCCTTATGGGGCCTATTTCCACGGAATTTTAATGACTCCCCGAAAACGGACTTATAAAGCAAATGGCAAACAAAACAAATGCCAGCGAATTTCTTATCTGCCAACCATAAAATCGCCTACGTCCAGCGATTGTTTAACTTTTCGTTGTTGTCACCAGTTTTAAAACTTTTCCCCTTATTTTGCGATTTAGACAATTGTGCAATTAATCCATTTTGGCTCTTGAAACATTTGATAGTTAAAAACAACTTACACACTACAGAGGGTATAGGGAAATTTAAAAGTTATAATCAATCTTGTGACCTACTTTCATATTTGGAATATTACTTAAAAAGTTATTTGGTTCCAAAGATCAAAGAAAATCGATTATAGGGTTTTCAGTTCTCAACCAATAGGTTAAAGCTCTATAATTCGAAGTCTTTATAAGATCTTAGTTTTATAGCAATGCCAAATTTACACTTCTTAGCAAAATAAAAGTATTTATGTTTTAAGTGAATTAAGTGCTCGATTATCGGGCAGTGCTCAGGTGGTGCTTAACATGTTGTCTGAAAACGATCGACAGCGGAACAATTAATTGAAAATGTAAGTCACCTATGGGGGTGGGGTTCTGTTGTTTGTCCCGGGTTTGGGTTTTCAATCGACCATCGGGATCCGAGGAACAATAACTGAAATCGGAGACCGCCCAGCAAACACGGCAAGCACAATCAGACATCTCGAATGTAAATCAGCTGCGAAAGATAAACAAATGGTGAAAAACACACGCTTTAGGTATCAGGCTATGAGCTTTAAGCGGTTAAAACGTTTAGCGCTAATCGTTAAACGATTTTGCACCAGGCAATTATACATATGGGTAACTATATCTGCGGACAGACGTATCTGTATCTCAACATGTACACATGTATCTTTTGAATCGTAGTTGTTGTCTTGCGGTTTTTTTCGATTGAGCACTGACGTCTACATATCCATCCCCATATCTAGCCACATCTACACACACTTGACTTGAGGCCCTTGGCTTTCGCATTGAAACTGACAGCCCCAACAGCAATAATAATAAATACTTAAAATAATAATTTCGTAAACCAAAATTCCTGCACGCAGTCAATATGCGTGTGTACAAGCCACAAGTTCGGTTGCTGTTGCTTCGAACAATTCAATACAACAAATTAAACAAATTTTGAATGACAACCGGAGTCGAGGTTGAGATAAAGATATAGCGACCCAACAAACTTGGCGTGGCTTTGCCAGTTCATTCAGTTCGGGATAGACTACGGAATGACCTTTAAGGGGCACTTAAGTTCGAGGATTAATAACTAAAAATTTCAAGCTGACTTGAACTCGGTATAGCCCAAGTCATTAAAAGTTTAACTTATCTTTTTGTTTGTACAGAAGTGAATTTAAACAAACATGTTTTTTTAAAGAAACGAAATCCTGATAATCCTGATAACTGTTCGAAAGAAATAAAGCTACAAACTTTAAACAACTTATATACTGTTCTTTTATAAAATCTTTTTCTGATAAGTTATTTGAACTAGTTTGATTGTACATAAAATAAATAAATAATTTAAAATAAGCAAATTAATTCGGAGCCCACCGCAGCAATTTAAGTCAACTAGAAAATGTACCGGTGAATAACATTAGTATCGCCTATACCATTTTTTTTGGGATTTATACAGTGTTAAGAGAGCAATCGCCAAGTTAGCAAATCTTTACACTACTAGAAAACTGTCAAACCAAGGCACCCCTTTGGCACTACTAATTTTTCTAGGGTATTACGGCAGGCATAGTTTCGCACGCCTTCGATTTGTCATGCGGCGCACGTTGCGGCTTCTTTTTTCTGTCTTGCTGTTTGCTGCTCTCATTGCGGAGGCCATCCCCTCCTTCAACGTACCACCTCCGCCCAGTTGGACATTTAGGAGGGGTGTGGTGCAAAATGGTGCGGAGAGGTGCAGAGTGGTGCCAAGATAACTAAAGCCAATCGACGACGTGTGCGCTGGATACTTTTGGCCCACTCCGCCCTGATGGTTGCTCATCCAAAGCAACCATTTGTATTATTATCATCGGCTGGGACATTTCGCGCATTTCAAAGACACCAAATTGTTTGGCCATAACTGGCACAACAAGTGGAGTCTCGGAATTCGGCCGCTGTTTGGTTTTGTTTCTCTGTCGCTTCTTCGCCTCGTTTCTATTTTCTCCTCTTCGTTATTCATAGTTTGGCAAAAAGACGCCGAGTTATTCGCCAGTTGATGGTATAGTAAACCCCACAAACAGAAAATATCTTAATAATATTAGCTCCACTTGCTTTCACAATTTGTTTATTTTGGTTAACATTAAACCAATATACTAATGTATAAGGTGTCTGACAGTATAAAACTTTTACGTACTAATTTGAGAGATTGAGCTGAAGGTCTTTCTATAGACAAGTTCCTTAAATGACTATTTTTTGACCGGGGCAAATACCCAGTGATGGCCGTTTCGGGGACGTTTTTCTCCGTTCAGTTAGAGATTTGTTGAGGCTAAACCCATTTGCCTGACGACAGCCACACCCCTTTTGGAATGACACTTGTGGACCCCGTTCTCAATGACGCGCATCCGCCGCGTTGGCCAGCGTGTGAAAATGCCACCAAACTGATCCGAACTGAACTATTTCTGGCCGTCCCATTGACGCCAGTTTTCCGTTCTATCGGTAATTAAAAGGCCCAGACTTACGTAGAACCCGCTCCGGTTTTCAGTCCATTCCGGTCTCACCAGGCCAGCTCATGAGCAAAATATTCCACGTCAAAAGTTACCGCTCGCCGATCGTCATTCATTAGTTGGCGAGCTGAGAGCGCTCGAAACACTTTCAATAGAATGCGAATCCAGTTTGAGAGCCACTCGGTATTCATGCACTTAACTCAGACTCAAAAGATCGCCGTTTCTTAAAGAAGAGAGGTAAAAAATGGCTAAGAATCTCTCGACGGAGTGTGTGGGCTGTAAGGTGATTCTTAGACGCTTTCGCTTAAAAGAGAGAGACTCAAGGCTTGATCGAGTGGGGTTTTGGCATCTATTTTGATATATTGCATCAGATACAGGGCCTATCGAACTTCGATATAAATGATCATATTTACAATATGTTTATTATTATATAATATATTTGTAACAAAAAATTAAACCTGTACAGATACCCTGGGTTTGTCTATCAGCTTGATAATCCCCAAGATCTCTCTAGATACATTTTGATTCACATTCCTCGCATCTCGATTTTACGATCGTTTACGCTGCCATGTTTATTGATTTGCCCAATGCACACTCGCACTCGCATTCCGTGCTGAAATCCATATGAATATTTTCTATTTCTTATTCCGTTTCTGATTCGTTCAGCATTTCAATGGGTTGCACATGCGGTTAAAGAGTTTATTGTAGTCTTGGCTCTATAGGTCTAGGTTCCAGCACCTCACCTCGCCCCCCAATCCACAATTCTTTGCACCTCTCAAAGGTCTGGGGTCTGATCAATCGATCGGACGATTTTTGCGATTGTTGGAGCTCAGTTGACAAACACACGCCCCGAATGAGCTCAGTGCAAAGGCATGTGCAGTTGTCATAGCAGTCCGTTGAAGAGGGGCTGAGTGGACAGGGAAAAAAGTGGGTATTATTATTATAATTAATTTGAAACTAAATGAAAAAACATTTTAAGTATGATTTATACCTATTAGCTTTACAATTTCTTAGCTTCGGAATTTCCAGGTATATGCACCTTTAAAACACCTAAAACTTAAACATAAAATTGTTTGCAGTGCTGGCCGTATGAATTGCTGTCGCAGCACAACGTGGCGTATGCGGAACGTAACTGCTTCTGTCCCAGCCGACTTAATTCTCTGCCTTTCTTCTTTCTGTACCCCTTCGGCATTCGCTTAGCCAGCAGAAACGAATTCATTGCTGGCGCTTGCGCCATTTAATTGACTTTGGTCGCGGCAGAGCCCGTGGGATTTTATTGCCCCCACTCGCAGTCCTCTTTCTCCGCCAGAGTCTGCATTCCAAACGACTCACTCCCGAGCTACAACCTCGCCCCTTGCTTAATAATAAACAAAATATTTATTGCCATTTGCTAATTGTTGATTAGCGTGTCTCTTGCGCTTGCTCAGCTCCACTTGGCTCGCTTCTTTGCCACGATTTTTAATTACCAGCAAAACAACACAGAAACAAAAGTTTGACATCAATTGGGTATTCGTAGGACGTAAGTTATTGATGTCTGAACTATATTAAAAATATATGTATGTATTTTACACTTCTAGTTCCTCCCCACATTACAATTAGTGACAGGCCGATGCAGGCACATAGATTTGTTTATTTTGTATTATTAAAATATTAAACTTATGTTATGACTTAAAATAGTCAAAAAATTTTTCACTCTTAAACATGTGAAAGCAATATGTCGGCATCCGTTTCAAAAATATGAACAATCATAAGATTTATTATCGTATGATGTCAATTTTTCTTCTTGTGTACCTATTGCCCCACCTCCTGTTGGCTTTGATAATTAGCGTCGCCACGGCTTTCTTCGCTTCCCGCTCTCATTAGACAACGGAATGCGGATAATTTGCTATGATTGAAATTGTTAAATGCTTTTAATTTGTTTGCATTTCGAATTAAAAACGCTTTTTGCTCTCGCCCCCTTCCGTTGACTCATCCTCGAAGAAAACGTGATCACACATATGTATGTCTGTAGTTTATTTCGGTTTTTGGTTTTCGGCATTGACGATTCCATAATGACCGGCATTGTAGGGGGCTTGAAATTCAAGAGAAATGTTTGCGAGGGTCTTTCTTCGAAGCAGTCTTCAGCGGAATTATCGCCTCACTAACATCATGTACCCATTGATCAAGTCGTTCGACCAATCTTTCCAACCCAAAGCCATTACTTCCGGGGAAATCTCACCCATCAAACTGCGATCTGTTTGTTGTAAATGAAAGATCAATTAAACGTTCTTTCTCATTAAGGCCATGATTGTTTCCTTGGGAATTCCCATACATTAAATGCAATCTTCTAATTAGCTTCCTTTTATTGTTATAAGAATTGATAGGATCCCTGCGTTAAAGTCAATTTACTATTTTCTTCTTTTATTGTGTAGCTAAATTACATATTATTAATTTTAAATTCCAAGATTCTTGGGAACTGGCAAAGAATAATCAGTTTGCATCATTTAATGATAAAGCAATTGTATTTATTATATTAATTCAAGTTAAATATAATTGAGAAAACATTTCATAGTTACATTCATTATTCTTAAAAAATTCTTTATATTACAAAATTTTTATTGATAAGTAGGTAAACAGTTTTAAATGTAATTTCTTTAGCTACTGAATAAAACCCTATTTCTACTCAACATTTAAGTATACGTAAGTGATAGCTTAATCTAGTTCCTCTTGAGAGCTCAAAAGTGTAGATTTTTGTTTTTCACCGATAAATTCCTCGTTAATAACTCAATCGGAGCACATTAGAGACCTGGAATTTCAATTCTCGTTTCGTAATCGTCGGTGATCTGGCTTAAAGTGTGTGTCTGAGCTTGTTCTCCAGAGCTTAGCCTGGTCTAAGGTGCGCCTGGAAATCGGCTTATATATAATTGCTTTTCAAAAGCTTTTTTGGGGAGACCTTTTAGATGAGGGGACGGGTGTTACGTTTGCTCCCAGATATTCTTCGGTTTCTAATTTATGTCAAATGTGCGCTTTGATTGATGATCGCTTTTCGGTACGGAGGTGGCGGAGGCATTCCTAATTATATATTTTAAGTCAGGGCGGTTCTGCCAGCCTCTGTTTCTTTCTGTGGCATGCATATACTACTAGCTCCCTCCACCGCCGGAGTCCGACTCTCGACTTGGCTCTGAATAAATTTATTGGACGTTGATATTTATTAGACACAGAAAATGCGCCAATATTGAAATTTATGCGTCTCCACCGGGTTGGTAGAAACTGTAGTCGCTGCTGCTGCCGGCGCTCTATACAAAAAAGTTGATTTGATTCGATTTGATTTTAATTTATGCATAAAATACTTTTCTTTCATCACGAGGCTAGTTTCGGTGTCTCTCTCTCTCTCTCTCTCTTTGCTCAGGCTTTTGAAACTTTCTTTAACTGAATTTTAATATTTTTATGCCCAACGCATCGAGAGGGGGATGGAGTTCGGCTGCCACGCACGCACTGCCTCAAGTCCCCAGTCACCAAGTATTCACTATTCAGTTTTCTGTCCAAGTCCCCTGCCCGCTAATCAAGTTTGTTGTCTAAGTCTTTCGTTATTGATTGGTGAAATTGTTCGGTAGTCGGCGAGCCCAAAAGAGGCGGGCGCCATCGCCATCTTCCGCCTTTCGTCTCCAGCTCTGTCTGAGGCGGCTCCAGCGGCATCAATTTGCCTGAAAGAATGGTGCCTAACCGAGTCGATCGAGTGGCAACTTTATCGTAGTTTGATGAGCCAGAAATGCGGCTAGAAATGACGCCTGAGATGGTCCGATTTATCTCTGGAATGCGACTAAATTTCATCTTGAAATGGGTTATTTTGAAATTATTATATATCCCCCATAAAAATGTAAATCACAGAAATTACCTAAATCTATTTGTTTTCATATATCAGCGGTATTTAGTGCTTTGGATTACTAATCTTAATCTATCGATTTATTACCCTAAAAGAACCTGATGAACTAATCTATTGTTTTCTGTTTTACACAAATAGCAACGTATTTTGAACGCGCGCGCTGTATACGGAAAATGATGCAGCATGCGAGCATTTTGCACCGTCAGCGCGCCTTTGGAAGTATGCGCGTCTTCAGCCGAGCAACTATCACCAGGCTCGCGATTCCTGGCCCTGAGGTAAGTGTTAAAGGCGGAAATGGCTACCCGAAAATCTGGTTGCTTAATTTTTGTGTTATTTGCAGACTTCTGGGGCAGCAGCAGCCGAAAACATTGTACTTCCTAGTCGATGCCAAGAGTCGGGTTCGCGAGGTCTACACGCAGACATGTCTGCACTTTGCCACGCAAGGGATGCTGGACACCGAACTCTTCGGTCTGGCTGTGCTCATAGGTGAGTTTCAGTTTCTGGGGTTCCAGGTTGTATCCAGTTCGTTTCCGAGCCGTGGAGTAGCCAAATGCCATCGATAAGGCATGAAAAATACAACTAATAAACATAAACCAGTCCGCTCTAAAAGCTGCTCATCATCATCAAAAGCAGCAGCAGCAGAAGAAGAATCAGCCTCCATCCTCCATGCTGGCCAAAGCGATCTGCCAAAACACATAAAAATACCAACACAGCGGAGCAACACAAAAAATGGCAGAAAAAACGAACAAAAAGCCAGGGAACGCGTCGCCTTCATGGCGAACAAACAATTTCAGGAACACAGATGGGGGCCCAGAAAAAGGGGGAAGGTGCAGGGGAACAGACACAAGACGCGTGTTCAGTAATTCAGGTAGCCGTCGCGCGTTGCATTAACACAAACGAATCGAACGACAGCCAAGGAGGATGCAGTTTCGAGGATGGAGGATGGAGCATGGAGGCTGTATGATGGAGGAGCCCAAAGCTCCGGAGCCTGAACTGAAACTCGGAGAACGAGCAGACAACGTCTTTGGCATTGGCCTCAGATATATGCGTTCTTCAAAGACCCACGAGCACACACAAACGTGGCGAAGATTGGGTCCAGGGCAGAGCAAACGAGAAAGGAGTGAAGAAATCGATTTTCTCGAAGACGAAGTTCTGTTACTCTGAAAAAGGAAGAGCTTTAATAAAAAATAAACAAAAATAAATGTTTACAAGAATTTATACTTTAATCAATGTGGCTCTTATCACATATGATTAAGTTCTGATGAACTTTAAGAGCAAGATTTTTGATCTTAAATATCTCAATGACTTATCCAGTATAGCCTATATTTTCATTTTCGATGTCAGATCTCAAGAACACAACACGTAAATTTTCGAATCTGGTTGGCATCAATTTCGTGGCAAGAGGCAGAAGAGCGTGGAAGTTGCCTCAACATCTTCAGCAAAGAATTTGGTATGCAGTTCGAAGATGGAGTCGCTGCTGGAGCTATAGAGGCAGCTTTAACTAATTCTAAAGATGGGGCTGGGCATGCCAACGTCCTCGCCTCGCAGAGAATTCCTCTGGCTCAACTATGAAATTGGCAGTTTGCATTCTGCTTTAGAGTGTGTGTTTTTTGCTTGGCTCTGTGGCCCAGGATTCTTGCCGATGTCAGTTGACAGTGTATTTGTGAGTGGCATGCGGTTATGTTGTTGTTTCTGTTGTTGTTGTTGTTCTTGGCCGGATTCAGGTCCGTCCATCGCTGTCTGCGCTTCCTGGGGCCCCGCTTTCCCTTGCCCAGTATTTCACGCCGCACTCTTTAACCAAACTCAAAACATGTGAACACTGAAAAATATATATATAAATATATAGTATCTTGTAAAAGCAACTCAATACCCATTAACATAATATTATTTGTTATTCTATTTCATTAAGACTTAAAATTACTCTTTGAATATTTATAATTAGCTTTCGAAACAAGAAAAAATATTGGTAACCGCCATAGAATTTGTATAAATCCAGTTTTATTGGATTTAAAAAGTATTACTTCTGAAGAAAAGTGGAAAAAATTAGTCCTTCTTTTAGTGTATCCTTCGGTTTTTGGGTGTCGTCTAAAAGTTCTCAACCCCCTAATTTTCAGTGTACCCCTTCTCTTTTGAATAGCTAGCCTGGAATGTTTGCTTTTGCCCCGTTTCCGAGTTCTTTGCCTGAGTCTTTCGATTTTATTCGGTATTGCCCTAAAAAAGGAGACAGAAAAAGCCAAAATGATGTCCCGTCTGCGTCCGTTGATGGGGATGGAAATTAATTTCAATTTTATGGCCGGCCAGCGTCGATAAATTTCATCTTTATGCAAATTTTCGCTGTTCCTTTGGCTTCGCAGCCAAGACTCACTTTAAGTGGCACTCGGCCGATGGTAATTTGGCAACATTGTCATCCCAGTGGCCATCTACTCACTCATCTTACCCGATTGGTGTTATTTTTAGGCTGATGCATTTCTTGGATTCCACTGCCGCATTCCGGGGCAGGAAGGAACCTTTTTGGTTTTCCCTTGGCTCATCATTCCCCCGCCCCTTTTTTGCAGGCCCCGCCCCCTTTGTAGCTGTAATCTGTAGACCAGCATTTTCTTTTCCATTTAATGTTAATGGCTCATAATCATTATTATATGGCGTTGGCTGGTTCGTCTTCGTCTTCAATCTTTGGACTTGGACACTCGGCCTTGCAGCGGCTGCCGTCCTCCTCCTCTTCCTCATCACCAGATCCTTTCCAGCTGCTCTGCCTCTCCTCTTCGGACTGCGTGCATCTGATAACATCGGAAATTAAAATTCTTTTGGTTTTATGTTTTTTTTGTTTCTTCGTTCTTCTTTTCCTTCAGCCAGTTTCGATGCACACACACATTTATCTCTGAGGCTGCTCGTTCTTGGGATACCCTATAAACTCCACATTTGCCCTCCAGGCAGAGTGTAAAGTGTAATACATAATCAAACAAAAAAGTTTGTTCTGATATATGGGTGATTTTATTTAATATAAATGTAAAAATGTTTACTTTAAAATATTTATAATTCAAGTCATGTTTTCAAATTGTAGTCTAGGGTATTCTTTCGTCTAGTTTTACCTGTGCCTTTCTTCTGTTTTTTTTGTGGTTATTATGGCCACTCAAACTCGGACTGCAACCTTCTTGAAAATAAATCTGAATCTTAAGAATGCCAGGCCATGGCATTGGGCGCAGCTGTCTCGGACTCCGTCTTATTCTCTTTCTCCATCTCCATCTTTAACTTTAGACCCCATCTCTAGACCCTCATGCCTTCCTTCTCCTGCCATTACCTCTGGAATTCCGCCGCTTGATGAGCCTTTTTTCCTGCTGCCTATGCTTTTGAGGCTGTAATTTGTGGTGCATGTGTTTCAAATTGAAGATTTATTTTGATGCCCCTCGAAACCCTCCTCCACAAACCCGTGTGCGTGCGTGTTAATTGTGAGCGCTGAGGAATGCGATGGAAAATATGTTAATTATTAGGTTTTGGCCGCTGGGGGAGCGGACAAGGTAGAATGGAACGCAGGGATTGCGTGAGGATCCGGATCCATCAGGCCGCCGAGTGTTTACCTCAGATCGGACTCTTCTGGCCTTCACACCTGCTCGTAGAACAGAAGGATTCCGATTCCAGCACAGGCACGAATTCCAATGGAGGTCCGTTGGCCGAAAAGTCCTCGGGTGGAGTGAAATTTGAATGCGAATGAAATTTCTTTGAGTTTCGAGGTTAAAAACTGAGGCTTAAAACCGAACGACTTGCGCTTCAGCTGCCTCTTTTTGCAGCGCTGCTTACCTGTCTTTCTACCTGTTTTTCCCTCTTTCTCTTCGCTTTTTTTGTTGCTGCGTTTTGGGCTTGGTATGCAACATTCGCTCTCGCTTTGACTCCGTTCTACACTCTGCAAAATAATGAATAATATAAAATATAAATATTTAACCTCGTTGGACTTTTTTTAAAATCTAATTTGAAGAAATACATACGACAAATAATGTATCATTCACAATTTAGCTTAGAAAATTGGGAAAGTTTGATTGGTAGTTTTTAAAGTTTTATTTTTTGAATTTTCTTCGAGTGCTTCCAACTCGAATGCCTCTTCTTCCCTCTCCATCCACTAGTTGCCACTTCCACTCCAGCTCCACGTCCACAACGTCGTCATTGATAGGCACTTATTCGGTCGCTGATTATTATGATATTGTTGCTGCTTCTGCTGTTGTGGATGCTGTGCTGCCTCCATTCCATGGCCCCCTTCAACCTACTGCCTGCTTTTTTCATAATTATTATTTTTCATCTTGCTGCTCTTCATCTCGTATGCAGGAATTCCAATTTTTCGTTCGATGAAGTGTGTGTTGATTTCGTTGTTGTTTTTTCCCTGCCTTCTCAAGCATTACCGACATGCCCTTGGGCCCTTCTGCTGGGATCGGAGCTTTATAACACGGTACCGGTACCGGTCTCCTCTTCTCCAAGCATCGGGCAACGGGCAACGGGCCTTTGACAGCCTGACGTGTCGTCATCATCATCGTCTCCATCTGCCGGAGACTCCGACTCTTGTTGATGTCAATGGGTTGCTTGTTTATTGCCTGACAAACTGACAGAAGTCTGGTCGGGGTCCCGATTCGCGACAGGAGAGCAGGCCTCTCTCGCATAGTCGAAAGTTCATTTAAAATTTTGATTAGTGACCTTGACGGCATCGCGCCAAAAATTGTTTTAGCCCAACCGGAAATTCGCGGGGAGAACGTATCCCACTTGGTAAATAATTCAACATTTATCTGTTTGCCTCAATGGGCTTATATTATTGCTCGTGTTTCGTTAAAGGACGAACTAACTTTGCCTCAATATTTTGTCCTTAAAGCCGAAATGTTTAAAAATTGAAGATTGACTAGTTACGTAAGGATATTTTTAACCTTAAATGTAGTTAATAAACTTTATTTCATAAAATAGAATCATAATAATCAATTTTGTTACCTTTATATTATTTATTCCAGATGGAGAGTACATGTTCGCAGATCCCGAAAGCAAGCTTTCCAAATACGGCCCGAAGAGCTGGCGATCCTCGCACACACACGTGAGTACATAGAATATAATCAAGGTGATTTATCAAGTATATGATATATATGTTTATTTCAGGGCCTGGATGCCAATGGACGACCGCTCCTGGAACTACACTTCCGTGTGCAGTTCTACATCGAGAGTCCGTCCATGCTGAAAGATGAGACGTCCCGCCACAATTACTACCTACAGCTGCGCCACAACATCCTGCAGCGCGATTTGCCGCGAGAGCAGGCGGAGCAGGCCTTGGTCTTCCTGGCTGGACTGGCTCTTCAGGCGGATCTGGGCGATGCTCCGCCGGGATCGGCTAATTCTAAAGATGATTCGGGCGAGGAGACATCGACATCTCCGTCTGGAGGGAGCAGAGGATTGAGTGTCACCACAACGCTGCCCAAGATCAGCAAGCGTGCCAATGAGAGGATGCTGCGGCTCTCCACCTATGTGGCTTCCACATCGAAGAGGGAATCGATCCCGCTGCCACCCACTTTGCCACCGAATGGAGCGGACTACTATCGGATCGAGGATTACCTGCCCAGCGGACTGCACACTCCCTGGGCGAGAAGTGCAATGAGAGCCTGTCACCGGGAGCATTTGGGAATGGCCACGGCTGAGGCCGAGCTGCTGTACATCCAACAGGCTTGCAGTCTCCATGAAACCATCAATGCTCACATCTACAGGATGCGGTTGGCCAAAAGCGAGCAGGGTTCGGGGAGTGCTTGGTTTGTGGTGTATGCCAAGGGCATCAAGATCCTAGGGGGAGAGCGGACCACCAGCTCTTCCTCACCCGAAGCCACCACCTTTCTCTGGCCAAATATCACGAAGCTCTCGTTCGAGCGGAAAAAGTTTGAAATTCGATCCGGAGAGAGCAGGATCACCTTGTATGCAGCATCCGACGAGAAAAACAAACTCCTACTGACCCTCTGTAAGGACACCCATCAGTGGAGCATGAAGCTGGCAGCCAGGTTGAAGGAGGTGTCCAAGCGAGAGGAGGAAGAGGCTGCCGAGTCTCAGAGGCTCCATGCCAGTTACGCCTGTTCCAGAAGTCTGCTGCTTCCATACAAAAGTAAAAACGAGCAGCGCATTTCGGTGATCTCGAGCACCAGTTCTAACACCACCTCTGGGATTGTCAGTGATCGAGTGCACTCCGAGGATGAGCTGGAGATCATGATCAATACACCACCTGCTCCCTTGGCTGCTCCGTCTACGGAAAGTCTGGCCTTGGCTCATCTTTTGGACAGACCCAGTGTGAGCAGGCAGACCTCCAGTGTGGGTCAGATGTCCCTGAAGGATTTGGAAGAACAACTGGCTGCCTTGAGTGTGAGGCCACCAGACACTAATTCAAACGGAACCACTTCCATAACGAACATCTCTGTCCAGAGAAATTCCATGGGCGCTACGGCCAATGATTCCTCTACAGCTACAGATTCACCGAGCTCCCAGCACAACATTGGCTCCCAGTGCTCCTCCACCTGCAGTACCGTGGTGGTAACATCGCCTGCCAATGGTGGAGGTGCTTCATCATCAGGCGCTCCGGTTCCCGTGCACTCCACTTCTTCCAGTTTGGAGCTGGGCTTTAGTCACACCGCTCAAAACTCAGCCTTGAGCGAAACGAGTCCCGAAGATTTTCTCTCCACATCGGCGAGAGAGGAAACGGAGAGTGTGTCAGGGGCATCTGGAGTCTATACTTTAGCCCACGGAGCTCCACCCACCGAAACATCGGGCGTCTACACCATGCACAGTAGTGAGTTAACCGGACAATCCTCAGAGATGGCTGAGTCCGAAAAGAGCTCTCACTACGGTATGTTTCAGCCCCAAAAACTAGAAGATAACCATGTGCCACATCCCGATTCTATAGATGGAAAGAAGCGGGAGGAATTCAGGTTGCGATCAGATTCCAATATCAGTACGGGGAGTTCCTTTAGAGGCGATGGCAGCGATCCAACGGATAACAAACATTCGCTGCTCTCCGCCGAAGAGTTAACCAACCTGATTGTGGGCCGGGGTACCTATCCCAGCCGGAAAACGGTTTCCAGTACCCTCCACTCGGACTGTGATTACGTGACCTTACCAATGGGAAATCAAGGAGGAGCGGAAGTGGATCATCCAGAACAGGAGTTGCCACCAGCACCTCCACCGCCCTACAGCGCCAGGCATGAGAAAACTGGTCTCTGTGGCCCACCCATCGCCAAACCAGCGCCCAAGCCCATTGCTGTGGTGGCTCTCAAGCCGGATACGCCACCTTGCAGTCCCCCAGTTCCACCAGCACCGCTTCCGGCACCACCAGCGGCTCTGCGAAGAAGAGATCCACCGCCATATTCCAGCTCTAGCAAGCCCAGACCCACATCCCTGATATCCGTGAGTTCCTCGGCAAATCCTGCGCCCAGTGCCGCGGGCTCGATGAGTTCATTGAAGTCCGAGGAGGTGACAGCCAGATTCATAACCACCAGGCCACAGATAAGCATCCTGAAGGCCCACACCAGCCTGATTCCCGATGGGGCCAAGCCAAGCTATGCGTCGCCGCATCACTGCTCCTCGGTTGCCTCCTCCAATGGATCGGTCTGCAGTCATCAGTTGAGTCAGCAGTCGCTGCATAACTCGAACTATGCCGGCAGTTCCCAGGCTTCGCTGCATCACCATCATGTGCCAGCGCACCACCGACATTCCGGATCCGCTGCCATTGGGATACCAATAGTTCCTTACGGTCTGCACAAGAGCACGGCTTCGCTGCATCATCAGCAGTCATGTGTACTGCTGCCGGTAATTAAGCCGCGACAGTTTCTGCCACCACCCCCGCCCAGTTTGCCCAGACAGCCGCCGCCACCGCCTCCGCCAAATCATCCCCATCTGGCGAGTCATCTTTACGGGAGAGAGCTGGCCAGGAAGCAATTGGAACTCTACCAGCAGCAGCTCTACAGCGATGTGGATTACGTGATCTACCCCATTCAGGATCCAGCGGTTAGCCAGCAAGAGTATCTGGATGCAAAGCAGGGATCTCTACTGGCTGCAATGGCCCAGGCGGCACCACCACCGCCGCACCACCCATATCTGGCCATGCAGGTGTCACCAGCTATTTACAGGAGCACCCCCTATCTACCCCTAGCTCTGTCGACCCACTCGAGATATGCATCCACCCAAAATTTATCGGACACGTATGTCCAGCTGCCGGGGCCCGGGTACTCGCCCCTCTACTCCCCCTCGATGGCCAGTCTGTGCTCCTCATACGATCCACCACCACCGCCGCCCCTTCATCCGGCCGCTCTGGCAGCGGCAGCTGCGACGGGGGCCAGCGCCTCGTCCTCCTCGATGTTTGCTCGATCGCGATCAGACGATAACATTCTGAACTCGCTCGATTCGTTGCCCAAGGGGAAGCGGCTGCCGCCGCCACCACCACCGCCGTACGTGAACAGACGGCTGAAGAAACCACCCATGCCGGCGCCCAGTGAAAAGCCACCTCCAAGTAAGCAGCCAAATTTGTCTGTTATATACCACCAACCTCGTACTTACCTCTCCGTTTGCAGTACCCTCGAAGCCCAGTTCCAGCATGATGAGTCTGCTACCGCCCCGTAAGCCACCCACGCTGAATCCGCACCACGCCAACTCACCGCTGACAAAGACCTCCAGTGGCGCCCAGTGGGCGGGTGAGCGTCCGAGGCCGGATTTGGGTCTTGGCCTGGGATTAAACAGGGGCAACAACAGCATACTGGCGCAGCTGCAGGCTTCGATGGCCGCCGAGTCGCATGCCCAGGCTCAAGCTCAAGCGCTGGACATTGCTTTGCTACGGGAGAAGAGCAAGCATTTGGATCTGCCGCTGATCTCGGCGCTCTGCAACGATCGCTCCCTGCTGAAACAGACCAAGGTGATGGGTAATCCCAAGACGGGTCAGGAGATACCCACCTCCAGTTCGCAGTCCTTGGGAGCCACCACCAATGGTGGTTCCAATTCCTCTGGCGGAGGAACGCTAAGCAAGGTCAGGAAGGGATCCACCGTAAGCCACCGTCATCCGCAGGACAAACTTCCACCTCTGCCTGTCCAACAGTTGGCAGAGGCCAACAACTATGTTATCGATCCCGCCGTCATGATGAAGCAACAGCAACAACAGCAGCACCACAAGACCAGCTAGACTCGTGATGCTAACCGGGAACCGGAAACGGAAATGGAAATTGGGTCCAAGACAACACTCTTCTCTCTAGTTCGATTGCTGTTCGAAGTGCTAATGTATTTGTGTGCCCATGTGAAGAGAGCTTTAATGCGTTTGGAAATTTGCATAGATCGAGAAATGTGAAGAGTTTATATATTCGATCACAGTGTTTCGAAGGGTAGATATTCGCTGGGCACAAGGGTGTTAATCGTAAACCCACCGGAAAAGATCAGTAAACAGAGCAGCAGAAACATTTACATCATAACAGGAACTAACATGCATTTAACTAACAAAGTCAGTTTTCAGTTGAATAGAAAAACAAATAGGACCAGGATATGAGCTCTCGCAGAATACACCTAACAGTGGACACAAAAAACAAATCTTTTGCAGTTTTCGCACACAAAACTAAGTAAAAAAGCCGCTGAAACAACTGATCAACACCGAGTCAATATTTAAACAAATAAGACGTAGGCCTAAAGTAGCCAGTTTTACAGCCACTACAGAAGCAGGACGTCAGCAACTAAACCTCAAATACGCATTCAAATAATCATAACCCAGTCTAGTCACATAAGGGAATTGGTAACGTAGCCACAGCACAAGCCACAATGACACACCATCGGAAACAGAGAGAGAAAAAGAGAGTAGAACAAAATGGGAAGCAACAATACTCAAGTATAAAATACGACCACTACTTAATTAACTAAACTACATCGTAGAACTTTAGTCTTAGCTGCAAATACTTAGTTAGGCCAGACATGCGAATACTTAACACTAACTACTTCCGCCCAAACAACTGTGATTGATTTTTATTTAAACTTACACTAAATTTACAACTATTTTAGTCAGCAAGAACAACGCATCATATAGCTATGCAAATTTTTTAGTACGTACCAGTCGCTCCTCACACAAAACACACACATACTCACAACGAATCGGGCCAGCAAATTGGTCGAGTAAAAAACGTTCGAACTAATCGATTTTGAAACGGTTTTAAACGGTTTTACTCGATTTGATCGCTGGACGAAAGGAACTAAAGAATTTCAAGAGTGCCTAGACTTGCCCTCCATCCCACCTTAGTAGTAAGCATGATGATTATGATTTATTTTTGTTTGTTTATTTTTTGTTCGATAATTAACCCCCAACTAATTTTTGGATGTGTGAGTGTGCGTGCAAAAATGATTTCGAGTTTTTAATGGATGTCACAAATATTTGCGTAGATTTTTCTCGACTAAAAGTCTATTGCTAAATTGAGGAATGTGATCTTTGAGAAAATGTAAAATTTTTGCCATATATCTTACATATACACAAATATATATATATATAAATAAATATATATACATATACAATTACTTTAATTTATTAATTTACAAAACAAAAAACATTCAATTGATGCATTTATAAATCAAACCGTTGAAGCATCCAACAATCGCATACGATAAGTAAAAAGTCCATGAGTAAAAGGTAAAAAAGTTGTAAAAAATATCTTTGCAAAATAAAGTAAAAATTAAAATGGAAAACGTAAAAATAAAATGTATCGAGTGTTTTAGTTTCATATGGTATGTTTTATCAAGTAAAATCTCAATCAAAAGGTATTGGCTTGGAAATGATTTGTGAATGGCTTCATAATATTACTCTATGTAGGGTTTGGTATCACAAATTGTAAGACGATCTGTCACTTACATATTATATAACGCATAACTGGCTACGAACAACAAGCGTTTCGCGACTATTAAAATGATCTAGGAGAGTAAACTTGCCCTGACATATGGGTTACGCTTAAAAACTACTGTTCTCTAGTTGGTCAGCATGTCCTCATCCTCAGGAGTTCGTCGCACCCACTTCTTCGTCACCGTTAAAGTGATGCCGGTGATGAGGAAGACGCTGGCAAAGGCTATCAGAGAATAACCGAATATAACCCCATAGCTAGACAGATTAATGGCCAACTAAAAAAGACATGGCGTTAAAATGGCTTGGATTTTGACTAAGGAGTAGAACTCACCTTGGCCTTAGAAGCCAGCTCGGAGGAAAGCTCCGCGTACTGATCGAACCAGAACATGGGCATCAGGACCTTTTGGACACCTCGATAGATGCTGGTAAAAAAAGAAATTTGTTTGTTAATTCCATATTCGTTTGCATTAATCGCCAGAATATTTCGATCTCACAGCTTTATTATGTACTCACTCGAAGTCGTCGTCGGGCTCAATCATCATGTTGATCTGGATGCGGCCATGCACCTGGACAGGCACACCAGTGGTGGGCTCCACGGCCAGGAAGAACTCGTGCTTGTCCTTTTCGGGCTTCATCCCAGTGACGGCATCGATATACGACTGATCCGCAAGGTAGAAGTGAGGGAAGGAGGAGTAAATGGGCGCCTTGTCTCGGCAGGCTTTGCACTCCACCACACCTGTCTTGGGACACTCGTCGAATCGCGTTTCATCGCAGAAGCATTTCTGGTTCGGATAGTTCTCCCCGGAATCGAGAGTCTCCTCAGTGCCAACCCATTTTGTGGCAGTCAGGCCATGGTTCTCATATGTGCCCTGCGGCCGGAGGTTCATAAACCTGCAAGCATCGGTGGCAAAAATCGTAATCTCATCGTTTACATTCATTTTGGGCGGGAACAGGTCCCCGGTGGTTCCATTCACAATTCCGCAAGGATCCTTGTAGAAACCAGTCTCATTTTTGCCATTCCAATGGGTGAGTCTGCCCAGATTGGATATATCATCAGTTCCAGTGTGAATGGTGAACAGGCCATCGTAAGTCAGGGATTCATTTCGATCAGCCAGCCAGCCAAAGCGCTTGTAGGGAATGTCAATCATTGAGGTGTTAAACAAGTTCAAGAAGTCGGTAATGTTATCCTGATATCCGTCGAAGACCCACTCGCCCACCGACTTGGTAACATATAACTCGCCTCCCTCGTGGTTCAGCATAAAGTTAATAATCTTCTTGACGATCTTGCGCTGGTTTCGCATCTCATCTGCCACCGTGGCAGTAATGGCATGGGCAGCCGTCACCATATCGTCCAGAGTTCCATTAGATTTCTCAGGATCGAAGAACCACGTGCGACGCTCATAATAAGCCACTGTCGCGTTGTCGTAGAACGTGTAGTTCTCCTTCTTATGCTTCTCCAAGAAGGTGTACGGACCCATCTCCACAAAGTTTGGCTTTATGTTCGGGTTCCTTATGTCCTCAGGGTTCGTCCAGTTGAACATGTAGAAGCTCAGGTAAATTGGGATAGGTGCCTCCAGCCAGCTGTCGTAGGCATCGGTGCCAGGCTTCAGGGTAAGCCCCTAAATAAAAACAGAAGAGGGCAGAGAATTATAAATTATAAACCGAAAAATAGATCATTAAAAACATATAAATACTCAAATTAAACTTAAAATCCCATGACAATTATATATGTAATTAGCACATTCTTGAGAAGTTAAATGGTATAGCTAAAGCTAAAAGGTTTTTGGCTTAACTTTGGATTTTATTTTGTTCTTTTACCCACATACTTACATCTTCAACAAGGTTATCCGCAATACTTGGCCAGAAGACCACGGTAAGTATTCCCAGCACCAGGAAGAGCGAACCCAGGCCGAATACCCAGACTTTGCGTTGAGTTTCCCCGCAGCACTTGCAGCACATGGTGGAAAATGACGTGTGGAAGATTCACGGATTCTGGAAGCGAGCAATAACTCCTAGGCACTGCTTTGCATCTGGAAGTGGGATAGAAATCGGTTGGTTATTTTCACTTGCATAATCAAAGTCCATAAACCGTATCGCGGATAATCGGGGAATTTTTATTATTCGCCTTTTCCCGGTTCAAACCATCCTGACACCCAGCAGAGTTGCTAATAATAATAAGCCACCCGGCTTATCGCTGTTTTGTCCCTGCTTAAGTATTCGATAACCATCTGCGATTAAGTCGTGCATACTTTAATGAGACGGCTACGTCCGTCGCAGTCGCCATGACAGCTGGAGAAGATTACGGGGCAGTCCACTCGGCGTATAGCCAACTTCAAGTGCAGACATCCGTAGATCTCTCCAGTTAAGAAACACTTGCCACTGTTAAAAACTTACTAATTGCCAACTAAATGGGATCGAAACTCCAGACGGAACACTAATGGACTTATCACAACCGCACACGTCCCACAGCTGGGCGAAACTGCTTGCTAGCGGGCTTCTTGGGGTCTTTAAATGGAACCACTCGACGTTTACTACTAATCTCGCTTCAGTAACTAATCTTTGGATTTTGCTAATCTGAAATGTTTGCCTGATAAAAGTTAAAGGAAAGGACTTTCCAAAAAACTTGCATTATTAACTATGTCAAAATATAGGATTTTTAGAAAGTTAAATTATACATTTTTCGAAATAATCATTTCAAAACCAAGATTTAGTTAGTGAAGCTGTAAATGAAACGGTGCAATAACAATACAATTGACCGAACATCAACACCAAAACCAGATCGATAACTATTATAAATTGGCTCTTATAAAGTTATATTCGTCATTTGTAATATTACCTCTTTCCAAATTTACGAAAAATGGCTTAGCAGAAAAGTGACCTAAAATCTGCGCCTCTAAGTCGATGACTTTTCTTACAGACATCCGATTTCAAAAAGGCTGTGTTCTCAAATTGGTTTGTATTTTGGGGTCGATTTTTCGTCATTTTTATTGATTATAAATTGGCTCTTATAAAGTTGTTAAAACTTAAAAGACAATACTGCTGTATATTGGTCATTTGTAATATTACCCCTTTTCAAATTTTTAAAAAATGGCTTTGCGGAAAAGTGACCCAAAACCTGCACTTTTAAGCCCATAACTTTTCTTACAGTCATCCGATTTAAAAAAGGCATACTTCTAAATGATTGTGGTTTAATTCTCTTAAAATCTGTGTTTTTAACTTGGTTTGTATTTTGGGGTCCAAAATTTTAAAAAAATTGCTTTGCCCACAGACATTCGAGTTAAAAAATGATTGTGGTTTAATGCTTTAAAAATATGTGTTAACAACTTGGTTTGTATTATGGGGCCGATTTTTCGTTATTTTTATAATGTTAATTCTTAATTTAGTTAACTGATCTTCAATAAAGGCTCCTTTATATTGATTAATGAATGGAAATGCTTGGGCATAATTGTAAGACAAATTTTTAATATTATTATCTTGGTATTGCCCACATTTTTTGGTCATTTCGAGTGTTGTTTGCGATTGGCCAAGATGACTGGTGCATGCCAACTTTCACAAGGGGTTCCTATTTATGGCACTGATAAGATAAGCTGCTGGGTAATATTGACGTGTTTGATTAGCCAGGCGACATGTGTTTGGCCAGATCTGCTCTACTATATAAACATATATATATAATACTATATCTACTGCATTAACCAACTATTAAATTCAAAGTTCTAGCAATGTAGTAGGAGCGGGGCCTCATTTTATCAGAAGTCTAACGCATATTGTATTGCATTTTTAGTTTACAGTTTCCTTCTTTGTTTTTTTTGTCGTCTGACTCAGTCTTGTTTTTGTCGGATTATTGAGCTCTATAATATACTCTTTTGTCGTCTTTGTTCAATTGTTGATAACGCAAAAAAAAGGGTCTGAACTACAGTTGAACTTCTCGAACTTGAGCTTCAATCATGCTCATTTTTGTAACTCTAAATAAATTAAAGACTTAAAAATGTTGTTTTAAGAAATCTTGAAATTTCATCAACTTATAATCCCTGTTTAAGCTAACATCAAAGTCGCAGATGGGATGAGTGTTCCATGAAAACAAATTCCTAATCATCAAACCTATCAGAAACAATATAATCTATACATAAGCATATTTATAAGATTGCTTTGCAGTCAATTTATTATTTATAACAAATATTAATCTTTGAAACCCCAAAACAATTTTTTTTAGAAATTCTTTAATTAAGAGTTTTTACTGTCCGTTGACAAATACAAATCTTAATGGCATGTACACTTTTTCTGAACCCAAAACTGTGATCTTTGACTAACTTAATTTGAAATGTGTTGACATCATCGGCTGGGAATAATGTCTAGCGCTAACGATCACGGATTATTACACTTATTACCGGCTGCATATGTAAAGTGACGAATTACTCACCTTTTTTATCTCGCACACAGTTGCAGTTGTTTTGTCTCCAGTTATTGTTGTTGTTGTTTCCTGGCCTTGACTTTAAATACGCGATACTACGGACTTATTTATGGTTTTTTGGGGATTTTCGATTTAATCTCTAATGGTTTGTTTTGAAAATAGATTGAAATAGAAGAAAAATACCGTTATATATGTTTTTTATTGAATTTTAATTACTTTTACCTCGGAACTTAAGGGAAGGCGTCTTTGTAAACGCACTGAAAGCCGCAAGCTTACTAAACATAAAGGCACTTGTGTGTTGGCAGACAATCCGAAACGGCGACAGATAAGCCGCAAACTTGCAGTTTGCCTGGTTTAATTGGATTAAACAATTTATTTTCTTTAATATTCTTAGCTTTTAGCAAGTGTGACCAAGTGGGTTTCGGTACGATGTTAAAGCACTGTTAAGTACGCTGTTAGCGCCATCAGCTGTTAGTGTTTGGAAACGTTGACAACACTGGCGCCGGCATCGGCCAATCAGCGCAGACCACGACGCACACATACAAACAAAGCAGCCAGCGGCGACAACTACAACATTTTTACATTTTTGCCAGCATTTAATATTTTATTTCCCGGGAAAAAGCATGAATTGCTGAAATAGACATCATCAGAAACAAAATGCGGCTAATCAAGTGCTTGGTAGTGGTTCAACTGGCCCTTTTGCTGGTGGAGGAGGCCTTTGCTGGCCGGGATTTCTACAAGATACTGAACGTCAAGAAAAACGCCAACACGAACGAGGTGAAGAAGGCGTACCGCCGTTTGGCCAAAGAACTGCATCCCGATAAAAACAAGGACGATCCGGATGCCTCCGAAAAGTTCCAGGACCTAGGAGCCGCCTATGAGGTGCTCTCCAATCCGGATAAGCGAAAAACCTACGATCGTTGCGGCGAGGAGTGCCTGAAAAAGGAGGGCATGATGGATCATGGCGGTGATCCCTTCTCCAGTTTCTTCGGGGACTTCGGTTTCCACTTTGGCAACGGCGATCCCCAGCAGCAGGATGCTCCTCGAGGGGCGGATATCGTGATGAACCTGTATGTTTCCCTGGAGGAGCTCTACTCCGGTAACTTTGTAGAGATTGTCCGCAACAAACCCGTAACGAAACCCGCCTCGGGCACACGGAAATGCAACTGCCGCCAGGAAATGGTAACCAGGAATCTGGGACCCGGCCGCTTCCAGATGATCCAGCAAACCGTGTGCGACGAGTGCCCCAATGTGAAACTCGTGAACGAGGAGCGTACCCTGGAGATCGAGGTGGAACAGGGCATGGTTGACGGCCAAGAGACGAGATTTGTTGCCGAGGGAGAGCCCCACATCGATGGCGAACCGGGAGATCTCATCGTGAGGGTCCAACAGATGCCGCATCCACGATTCCTGCGCAAGGATGATGATCTGTACACCAACGTGACCATCAGCCTGCAGGACGCCCTCGTCGGCTTCTCCATGGAGATCAAGCATCTCGATGGACACTTGGTGCCCGTCACGAGGGAGAAGGTTACGTGGCCGGGCGCTAGGATCCGCAAGAAGGGCGAGGGCATGCCCAACTTCGAGAACAATAATCTTACCGGCAACCTGTACATCACCTTCGACGTAGAGTTCCCCAAGAAGGATCTCACGGAAGATGACAAGGAAGGTGGGTGTCTTATAAACATTTTTTAAAACTACATGGGCGAAAGGTGAAATTTGAATTTGAACACTACTTTTAATTGGAGCTCTGATTTGATGTAATATTATTTGAGTTATCAAGTTTAGGAAGTTGTATTTAAAGAGTCAAAATATCGCTTCTCGCCCCTTAATAACTTGTTTACAAGCTTACAATTACCTAATATTTTATATTTGAGACAGCTAATAATCTTTAATTTTCTTTATTTTAGCGCTCAAAAAAATACTCGACCAATCGTCCATTAATCGCATCTACAATGGACTGTGAATCCCCCATCCCCCACACCCAAAAAAGCGTTCGCCGGCTGTACTCTAGTATTTAAATGCCTAGCTGGGCAGTTTCGATCTAGAAACGCCCTCAAATCAAGAGATGACTTTGTTCAAAAAAGTTGTGCGATAAAAACAATTTAATTTTAGTTTAGCATTTTGTAAAATAGTAAAGAAAAAGAGCGGAAAACTGAAAAACTACATGCAGTTCCTGCTGACGAAAAGGAATTGCAACACAAAAACCAACCACCACAGAATAAAAAGAATTTAAATTAAAAATGCTGTTTTGGAAAGTAATTTAATTTTAACAATATAATTGAAGCCATCGATTAACTTCCCCAAAGCAACATTGGCTCAGCTGTCGATAACTGGCGCAGGACAACGGTCTAAAGAGAGCAAAGGAGCGCGAGAGCGGTACAGGAAGTGGCTAATTCGCGTTCAGAGAGCGTATAAATTTTCATCAGTACGGACGTAGGACAAGCTCAACCAGGCTTTTATTTTTTTACAGATAGAATAAAACGAAACTGAAAAGTCATTCACTGGAAAATCTGCAAACTATTTTTACTCTACTGCCTTAAAACTATCACCCCCTAAAAAAATAACCGAAAAAAACCTAACCTAAAAAGGAGAAACATTTAAAGGAATTCCCTGCACCTGCGGCCCCAAAAAACGAGACACCAAAAACAACATCGACCACAAATACATAGTATGAATGTCGCCTAAATATCATAATTTTGAGGTGAGTTGCTGGCTCCTCTTCGAAGCCTTTATAATTCCCAACCCCAAGGATTCCGTTTTCCGCGAAGAAGAAACTGCCCACCCCTTCCATTCTCTTTATTTCGCTATCGATTTTCTGCGGGGTTTTCCCTTCAACTTTAAATGACCCAAAAAAGTAAGAAAGGGTGGTTTTAGGTCAGCCGGCAAAGTTGCGTGCTCCGCAAGTTCATCCATCCTGGTTTCATGCCAAAAAAAGAGACCTTAATAAAAACCATTTCAGATTGCACTGGTATATTTTCTGCTGCTGATACCATGGCCGCCCACAAATGTGATCAGAATTCTTTGCTCGCGAGATAACAGCCGACTGGTGCGCAAGATAGTGCGCTCCAAATGGACCCCCATATTGGACAAGCATCAAGTGAGTCGAATATCTGGAAAATCTTCTTTGAGAGGTATCTTCAATTATCCAATTTCCAGGTGAAGCTCCCGCTGGAGTGCCCACTGCATCCGTTCCGGGATGTTTTTGCTCCCCGACAGGATGCCAAGCAAAGGGACCGACCCACTCAGTGGACGTGCAGGAAATGCGGCAAGAGCTTCTACCAGGAGAAGCACCTGGATCTGCATTTCGAGACACGCCACAAGAGTATCATCAATGAGGTAAAATTATGTTATGGATATGCTACTCCGTTTGTATGTTATAAAAACCACTATTGTGGTAAAATTTAAATAAAAAAACGTCTTAAAATAATATTAATATCTAAATATGTAACACCCATATTATAATGTTCCTGTATTTCTAATTAATTTTAATAGGCGGAGGATGCTGTTTGCCTAGCCGACTTCTGCGACATTATGCGGTGCGAGGTTTTCGAGACGGAGGATGCGTCGAGCCTCAAGTTCGGGGAGCAGCACATTGTCACGGAAATCGAGGTCTGGGGCGACTCCCTGGGCCAGAATTCCGCGTTGGCCAAAGCGAATGCCGCCTACTTGAGCTTAATACCAAGGTGAGCCACGCTATTTTATGCGCATACCTTTCAAATATTAAATTCCTTAATCTTTATTTGACCAGAACTTCCACACTGGGTGCCTCGCGTGCCGCTAAAGTACAAAACCGTCAATTACTCCAAGACAAGCCAAGTCAGGCCAGCAAGACGGATCAGTCGCCGGCAGGTGAGCGAATCCATCCCCACTCCCACCACCACCACCAACACCTCCATCCTCGAGAGCGTGAATCCACCACAGCCAATCCCCTTCGCCTAGATCCATCAACGGAGGACGGATCGGCGGTCAGGCCGAGATCGGCAGGCGAGAAGCTGCTCCACAAGCTCAAGGAGCTGGGCAAGGCGCACCTAAGGTCCTCAGCAGATCCGGAGTCCAGCAGGCAGAACGAAACGGACGAGAAGGAGGACGAAGAAGGCAGTGGGCATTCCGAAGGCAGTGGCCAGTCCACTGACGAGACCAAAACAGAGGAGGGATCGGGTGCCAATGGAAACGGGAATAAGGCGAGGGCCAACTGCAAGCCGGAGGAGCTAAGCAAACTGAAAAGCCGCTGTGAGATGCTGCTGAGGAGTTGCATCGGAGGATTGCTTTTGTCCATGTCGGATCAGGCCTTTAAGGAGATGGAAGGTATTTTTATTAGGGTCCTGTACGAAAAAGCGATCAATCCAATCTAATATTCTGCTCACAGAGGAGATGAACAAGGCTGTGTGCTGGTACTTGACCTGCGATCGCTACTGGGAGGATGGTCCCTTGGAGCCGCGTGCCTTCCCCTGGGGGTTGATTGTGATCCTGATCTTCGTGCTGTCCACCGGCATCTGTTTCTGCTACTACATCATCTGGATCCTGTTCGAGTAAGTGTGTCCTGGCCTCCTGGTCCTTCCATTGAGATTGAGCGAACCCAAGTCATCTGTTTCAGCTCCGAAGAGACGACAATCAACGCGAACCACTACTACGGCCAGGGAGCCATCGCCGGAGGAGGGAGCATCTACATGCCAGGAGCAGTAGCGGGTCATCACTACCATGTGGACTATGCCACGCGGCACGACCTCGACCTGGACGCCGGCGTGATAGCTGGTCAGCAGCAGCAGTTGCTCCAGGAGCAGCAGTTCTACTACCAGCAGCAGCAGCAGCAACAGCAACTGCAGCAGGCGGCATCCGTCCGGGACTTGTATCCGGAGCAAGTGCAGTACCACCGCCACAGTCCGCGGCACTACATCGCAGATCCGCGTCCGGTGGGTCCACCAGTGGGCACACCCACCCAAGGGGCCGTTCGCAGCAGCTCCTCCAACGCCAACACGCCGTTGCACCACCGGGTGCAGCAACATCCGGGACAGCATCCCCACCTGCAACATCGTCACTCGACGAGCCTGGCCTACCCACAGGACATTTTAGACCGACGCGACTATACAAGTAACTCCACGCGCCCCATCGCCACTAATATGGTGGCTGGATCGGGATCGGGATCAGGAGCGGGACAAGGCGCAGGGGCACCCGGCGATACCCAGCGGCACTACAACACGCATCCGCGGCCGCTGGAGACGAGGCATCGCCATGTGGGCTCCTCGCAGCAATCCCTTCGTGCCTCCGCCTCCACGCACGAGATCGTGCAGCAGGAGGCGGGAATGGGTCAGAATGAGCACTACATCTACGTCACCTATCCGCCGGACCTCAAGAAGCGCTACTTCGAGTGACGGAAAGGGCTGGATACTCCGGTGATCGATCGATGATCGTTCTAAGGAGACTGCGGAGGAGATAGATCGGAAGATGGAGAGACCAAAGAGCCCTCGGAAGGAGAGCCAAGAAACGATACCAAAGCCAGAGGATCAACGATAGTTGGTCGTTTGATGATGATATAGAACGTTGCAGCGGAGGACTGGCCGCCAACCTAACCCCAAAAGTTGGTTTTTTACTTTTAGCCTGCAAATTCTAGATTTGTGAACTGTGCTGTTCTTTTTTAATTCTACAAAATAAATTGCAATATTTCTGTACAATAGAAATCATGTATTATAATTTCCGTCAAAAGTTTGCAACGTTGTGAAGGACATTTCCATCCATAAGTAAATATATGTTATTGATCAGCATCACCAAGCAGGCCGATCTAGCCTTTGCCTTTCCGATTACTAGTCTCTCGGTTTAAGAGCTATCTGGATGAGACTTTCTAAAAAATATTTGTTCAATTGCAGGTAGTATAACAATATCAAATAGATGTCTAGTGAAGGATCCGAAAATGAATTGAAAAATCGACAAAACTTCGTTGTTTTTCAATATATACGCATATAACTCGATATATATTTATTTTACAATATTATGAAAACACTTTTAATTGTATGCTTTATTGTAATTATTCATACATTTATAAAAATCGTCAGCAAGGGTTTTATAACTCTGGCATGCCTAGGTTTGCTGCCTTTCCAGTTTAAAATCCTTTGTTGACTGCTCAAATATTCTTTGGTATATTTAATATTATTATACAAATTATTTTGCTATTAATAATATACATATATTTTAATGGTTCATCCAACAGTTTTAGAGGAAATTTGTAGAGAGAAGATGGTCTAAGGTTTTTTATAATTCCACTATTAACTTGATTTTCCAGTTTACTTACTCGAGATAAGGCTGTAAAGAACCATTTTAAAATAAATATAAGCAAAACTCATCGATTAACAATTACATAAAACATTTATTTCACTTTTAGGATTTCGTATATCATTTCTTTTGTTTGGTTTGTTTAAAGACACTCACGTTGATCTAGTCACAAATCTTTACGCTAAAGTACAGTGAAAACCTTTCAATATACATAAATAGATCTAAAGGCATATGTATAACCATTGTGGAGTTGCAATGGAGTGAGAGATGTATGTACATATTGCGCAATAAATAATATGTTTACTGCTATAACATTATAACTCCATTTAGTGGGCTAGCTCTTGCATTTTGTTTTTTGTACTAAAATTAAGCGTATTACATAGTTTAAAAAAGTTACAAACGAAAACATACATTTAGAAGCTTAGCTAGACATTAGATTTGTATTAGTTTCAAAAAGTTTGGTCCTTTGGAATGTGTTACGAGAGAAAAATGACATCTAGGTGGTCTCGTGTATAAGCTAAGATTACAATATTTTAGGGTAGCAGTTGGCTGGGAATCTTAGACTATAGACCAGCACGGAAGTTGGTTCAGTTCCACATTTGGCTTTGCCCTTGAATTGTTTTCCGCATTCGTATTTTATATAAGTCGGCGTTGAGAATTCTCTAAGGTCCCCTTACCAAATTTGATTAGTTTCCCGAATTGGTTATGCCTTGAAATCGCAGAGTGTATTAGGCATCAATTAGGGATGGGCCCTCGGAAACTAAACCTTCTTCGGTTTACTGGTCGATAAAGGAATAAGGGTTTTATATTCAGATACGGGGTCAAAGCTTAACAATCCTGGGACTCCCCTTAACCCTAGGACAAACAACAAAATGCTCTAGGAACCTAATAAATAATTGCACTAAAAACAAACAAAGTCTTCGGCTACTAACAGATCAAACAATTCCAACAGATATATTCAGTTTCTTTTTACTTTTTGGTTTAAGCTGCATTTGGTGGCAATAAAAAATTTAAACTAAGGGGGTTGGCGGGAAATTTTTTCCCCCCACTAATGCCGAGGCTAACACGCAACTGATACATATGTCATATTGCGAATGTATCTCAATCTGGGCTTGACCTTTGGCAAACAGCATTTAAAAATGGCCCGACTCGCTGAGCGACTAAAACGCTGATACATTAGCCGATAAAATATGTATATATCTGGTTAATTGCACGCGACTTGGACGAAACTCCAAAATCCCCAACTGACCCCCGATTAACCCTTCGTCTAACGCTGCTTACTCATGCTCATCGAGATTCGAATTTGCGCATTCCAGATAAACACGACATTTTCCATGTAAATATTGCACAGATATCTAAAATATATATATATATATATATGGTACTCTATATGATTAGGTGTAAAATAAGTATCGTAAAAGTTTAAAAATAATGATTTCCCTAAAACAACGACTATAGTTATCATTATGCTATATTCCGTTTCCTAAAGAAAATTTAAATATTTTAAAAAGTCTTGAGATTCTGGTAAAGTGTAGCTGCATTTGTATCCGTATCTTAAGATTTCTTTGTGGTGTATCTACGTGTGTGGTGTGTGTGGTGTATCTTTCAGTTAGTATCCGATTAGGCAAGCCTCTCTGGATTTTCGTTTTTTAGACAAGCCGAACACATCGGATCCTATCCAAGGACCAGAAAAATCTTTGGTAGAAGCCGGAGTCCTATTTGACCCTCCTCCGAGGGCGTTTCTTGCCTGCCCTCTGGCGCTTGTACTTCCGCAGGACACGATGGGCGTGGTAGTAGCGGCTTATCCGACTCTGCACATACTTTTCATGCAGATATTTGAGCAACTCTCGCCGATCCTTTTGGGGATCTGGCTTTTCGTCACGAATTATCTCCTCGTGGTGTATTAATGGTGTGCCATCGAATTCAGGCTGTGGTTCGGCCAATAGCTGGATGAGCTGCAGGGTGTTGACTTGCTCCACCTCCTCAGGACTCACCTGGACGAGATTAACCTGATTGGGCTCTCCCTCGACCTCCTGATCCTCCTCATTGGCCACCACTCCCAGGATATTCTCGTTCATATCGCACTGGACCACATAGAGATCATTGCTGGAATCGAAGATTTCGGCCAGGCTAATAAGCAGGACATCCTGACCATTGACGTTCGGTTCCGCTTCACCGTCCTTGCCCTCAAAATCCTCCGGGTCAGAGGCCACGCCTACTTGTTGATACATCTCCGCCAAAGCCTCCTCTACGCTCAACTCCCGGAGGGCGGGATCACGTTCGTCCGTAGATTTTGATTCCTCGAAAAGAGATGCATCCCCATTCCCTCTTACGACTAACTCTCTGTTTTTTAAGGAACTATTTAAGGCAATCTTACTAAGGTCACTTAGCTTTGGTACGCTGGCGAACCGGGAGCTGTTCACGATCTCGTCGCCATCGCTCTCCAGGATCTGCTTCAGTTTGGCAATATCGTGGTTGGAGACCTCCACTTCCTGTGGCGAATCCTCAAGGGTCTCTCCTTTCGTCATCATCTCCAGGGGAGAAAGTTCCCGCTTGGTTTCTTCGGTTTGTGATTGGGACAGTTCCTTTTCCAGGGCAGCCAGCTCGTTAAAGTCGCTTTCTTCTCCGGCCGTAGAACTCTGGGAACTGGTGCTACTGGAACTGGTGCTACTGGACGAAGCTCCATCTTCAGCTTGGCTACTCGTACTGCTGGAGTCATCGTCTGAACTGGAGCTACTGGAACTCGAACTCGAAGATGACGAAGAGGATGATGATATTGTTATACTAGGCACGGGCTTGGATGGTTCAGTTTCTATCAAAGGGACCACACTATTTTTTAGCCAGGCTTGTATTTGCTCCTCCTTATTTGGGGCAACATCCTCCACTGGGGCTTGCGCGGTGCTCTTAACCTCCTCATCCGGATCCACCCTCAAATTTATTTTTGGCGACATATTCGTATTTTCAATGTCATCGAACCCCTTAAAGTTGGACTGCAGCTCTAGGGATTTGGTGTCCATGCCCTGCTCCTCCAGATTCAGCTCGACATGAAGCTCTTCAGTCTTGTCTTTGTAGCTATAGCCACTCTTGATGACCGTTTCCCGATCTGTTCCACTCAGCAAACATCTTCTGAACGCAGAGGAATTCAAAGCCGAGACACTTAATCCCTTGAGACTGGCAGGATTATGAAGTGGTGGTCCAACAACATATTTCTTCATCAGTCTCTTGATCAGGGGTAGACGATTCTCCTTTAATCTTGTCATTTGCTTCTTCATCAGCATTTTTCGGAGTTTCCTTGTTCGACAGGAGGCGGTTCTCTTTCTCAAAACTTTGAGGACCCTGAAGTAGTGACGATACTTGATCTTTGGACTCTCGAATTCCAGGATCTTCAGCATCTGAATGCGATTACGCCGCTTTTTGGCAAGCAGCTTTTGACTGGCTCTGGCCGAAGCCTTCGGAGATAAGGAGATTACATTGTGACTTGGGTTAAAATCCTCCACCTTTTGTACTTCATAGTTTTGTTCCTGGGGTTCTGTGGTCATGCCCTTTCTTTTGTAGAATTTGAATCTTTTTGCATTTTCTCCGTACTCGCCTTCATCCTGGGCACTCACCTCTTCTGTCTCACTTTCGGAGCCTACGTTCTTGTGAATAAAGGTCTCGTACTCCTTGGCAAAGGTTGATTCATTCGAGTTCGAGCTGTTGTTCTGATCGAAGTCCATGGCCACAGGAGGTTGGGAAACATTAGCAAAGACCTCACTGTTAAGAATAGGACTGGACAAAGGAAGAGCCGAGGGTTGTTCCACCATTAAAGGAGCAGTCACGGGTTGTCGAAGAATCTCTGCCAAGGCATCACTTTCATTGACAGGTTGTTGGTCAGTGGCACTAGTCTTGAGACGCAGTTCATCCAACTCCTTCTCCACATCGAAGCTGCCAAAGGAATCGTCGACAGGAACACCACCACTTCCATTGGCCTTTTCAATATCTATGATAATGTCTGGCAAATTAATACCCTGATGATCCACGACCGCTGTAGCTTGAGGTCCTATTGGTGGCAGAGATTCGTACATGAAGTTGGGGGTTGGGTTAGACACGGGAGGCACCACCGCCACAGCCGGAGTATCCATCTCCAGGACAGCAGTTGCCTCATCCTCATCGTCCACCTTCCAGGTGGAGAGAAATTCCCGGATGCTGTAGTTCTGCGTAGCTTTCGCAGATTCCACCGAATAATTGAGGGTGGAGGGTGCGGAGGCATGGAGATTGAAGCCCACATAGTTTTCCACTTGGGCATCGAGATTGGTGAGGGGTCCTCCTCCGATTCCCGTTTGTCCCATGTAACAGCTTCCCGAAGATGAGGAACCAACTATGGCCGATCTCTTGCGATAATCCTGATAGGGTTGGCTCCGCAGAGACTGTGGCGACATCGATGGTGCCACGTAGTTGTCCAAGCTGTTGAGGGTAAGATCGTTGTAGAAGCCACCGCTTCCGGGATCCATGCCCATGCCCATGCCCATTCCGATTCCCATACCCATTCCGCCCATTCCCATGCCCAACGGGGCCGCGTATCTTTGGCCGTTCATGTTATTCGATGTGGTGGACCCCGACAGCGCTTGTGGGTTGTATCCGTAACCCAGTTGACTGGGCGTGGCTTCATAGGGGCCGTGACCCACGTACATATCAGTTGAATGCTTGAGCTTTATGGCAGTGGCGCCGGAGGATCCAGTTCCGGGATATTGTGGCTGTGATTGCGGGGCACTTCCAGCGGTTCCATAGGGTCCGGAAATCGATCCATAACCATTACTCCTTGGGTAAAAACAGCTTTGCTGGTTTAAGGCATATCCCTGGGAACAACAATTCTGGCGGGAATTCGCTGGGGCATTCTCCGTACCCGACCACAAATTACGTCCGCCGTAGGATTGCGTAATCGAAGGACCCGCATACGGATTACTGGCATAGGGCGTTACACCAGTGCTACCGTATTTATCGTACTTCGTTGAGCCGTAGTATATTTCACTGTTTAGGGTTCCGGGTCCTGGACCAGGACCAGGACCAGGTCCCGGATGGGGGTGATGATACGAACTGTTGGACACCGCCGCCGGCGGCAGAGATCTGTAGTTGGGCGAATTGTACTCCCCTCTCCAGTGACAGTTATTCGTGGGCTTCCTGTAAGATTGCAGTCCTGAGGAGTCGGGTCCCAATTCCTGCTGGCCGTACATGGGTAATCCCCCGTTTGGCGAATACATGCCCATGGCCATTCCGTACTTCTCGTAATATTGCGCCGACGTAGGATTGTTAACCACTCCACTGGAGTTTCCATTGGATCCACCGTAAACCGCAGACGTGGGCATTCCTTGGTAGCTTCTATTGGGCTTAATGGCCGCATAGTTTGTCTCCAATTGGGTTAGCTGTGGCTGCGGCTGCGTCATCTGCGACTGTTTCTGAGCCACGGCGGCATTTAGGCACATACCGTGACTGTACAATTGACTCGCCGGTGGACCCGGAACCGCGCTGCCTGTCTGATTGCTTGGCATCATTGGTTGCGACGTGGATTGGGCGGGTGGTATTTTGTACTTGTACGGATCGTACATGGCATTCGTTTTGGCCATATATCCACTTGATCCCGCCGCTCCGCCGGACATTGGTTGGGCGTAAAAGGGCGTGGCCATGGCCTGTGGCTTAATCCCTGTACTACCAGCAATCGGGTTACCGCCATATTTTACCCCTGAACTTGAAGCCAACTGGTCATAGCGGTTTCCACCTACGGGATAACTATTCCCAGGCAGTTGTTGCCCCACTGATGGGGCACTGTACGTGTTATACGGAGCTCCACTGTAATTGTAGGCGGGATCCAGGGGCAGAGAGTTTCCGTATCCATAGTTCTGGTGGTAAAAATGGGCCGGATTCTGCTGCTGCTGCTGTTGCTGTCGCTGCTGGGCATCCAACGAAGTCAGTGCCTCGCTGTAAAAAGGAGCCACTGTCGCAATCGTGGCCATTGGCATCGAGGTGGGCGAATTGTCGTAGTGACCGCCGCCGGTGGGCGTGGTTGTGGCGCTGCCGTAGCCGCTGCTGCTGCTCCCGCTGCTGCTGCTTCCGGGGCCGGAACTGGAGCCTGAGCTCAAGCCGGAGACGGATCCGGATCCGGAACCCGAACCGGAGGAGCCCACGGCGATGGCCATGGGGGCCGTGTCCATGACGGCTTGCATCTTGTTGGCTATAAAGAGAAAATTTAGTTGGGACTTATTATAAAGTCAAGGAAAGAAGGCAAATCTTCTGGCACATTCTAACTTGAGGAAATCATTTGGACCATAAATGTTGCCTTTAGTTTATAATAAAGGAATTTAGTAAAGAAATTTCGGGTTAAGAAAAATGGGTAGACACATAAATTACTCATTGTTTTTTTCGATATTTAATCTTAACTTATTTGCTTTTAGAACGGTATTACCAATGTTGATATAGAATTTTTATGAAGTTGATCATAATGCCTTTAAAAATCGAAATATTTAAATCTAAAAAAGGACTAGATGGCAACATATTTACTCCGGACACTGGCCAAAACTGTTGCCACGTGTATCCCGATCTCTTCTCTCGAGGATATCCCCTTTTGTTCACCTGGCTGCATTCTCAAATTGCATTCGCAATTGTTAAAGGTCCCCCATACGGCGAACAGGAAAAAACCATTATTCCTTGGCATTTAAAAGTAAAATGAAACCTCCACAACATAGACCACCCAACGCCCCCGCCACAATTTCGCCTTTGTTGGTCATTAAATGTGGTCTTCAACGGCACGCAGGTCCTTCGTAGTCCTGGCAAGTGTGTCAGTGGGGTTTTGATGTATAAATGCAGCGTGGTGGGGAAAACCACGCACAGAAAAAAATAACTTGATTTCCTATTAATTTTTATGCATTTATTAATGGCGATTTTAGGAACGCTCTTTAAATAACTGTACTTAATACGACTAATATGTCAACATTTTTTGTATCTAAGTAGAGCATAAAGCCAGATGATCAATTGTGGCGGTTTTTTTTTCTGTGAATAGCAGACTGGAACTACAACAAGAAAGGCGCACCTCGGCTTTGTGAAATGGAAATGTGGAATGTTCATGAAATATTAATGATTGACCCCGCCACACACACGCACACACACATCGGCAAAAGGGATGGACCCCCCTTTCCCGCCCACTCAATGTCAACGCCCACCACAAAGTGGGCCACAGACACTCACACACTGGGAAAAACCAATAATTGCCGTTGATAATTGTCAGAAGCCAATGAGACCCCGCTCCTTAATTATCAATACCTGTGGACTCCGGCAGGATCAGCACAGTGAGAAATAACTTAGGAGCTTCATTTAGGTCGCGTGTTTTTCTGGAGGAAGCCATCGCGGAACTGACCAGATCAGGTCTATATTTGAGATCTTTCATTTAGAGATAAACCATTCCTAGAATACATTATCATCTTTCATGTCCATAGGAATGGTTGCTCTTGCAAAATCGCGATCAACCTTTAAACTCTAGTCAAGATTAAGTATTAATGACTCAATAAAAGCTGATATGGCGCCGGATGGAACAACAGACACAGACTCATTTGGGACTTTCCATAGCTTTTTTTGATACTTTATGATGTGTATGTGTTAATTTATGTGTTATTTTATATTTGCATAATGAAATAAAATAAAAAAAATATATATTTCCTCTCTCGTGCCCCCTCGATCTCAATACTATATATTTTCTCAATTTAAAAAAGTAATAAATCATAATCCGCAGGAATCCGTAGCCGTACCCTTCTTGCCTTTGAAACGGCCGTAGAAGCCAGGTTGGAGTCCCATCCACAGTCCATTGACAACCACCTGCGTGGAGGACCAGGGACAGTTCCATCCGTAAGGACAACTGTTGTCCGCCGGCAGCCACATGGTTTATTGTACGAACGATTGGTCAATTAAAACAACAGAGCGACTCGCACGGAATAAAATTAAAAGCGGAGTATAGTACACCGGGCACGGCGAGTGACGAACTGGAATTCATTATGATAATTCACTTTCGCCCGAGGCGAATATTATTGATGACCCGGTATCTCGAACATTAGTCTGCTCCGGATAATCGCCCTCAGCAGTTTGATTCGGGTCGGGCTTTTAGTCTAATTGGGCGTAAAGCGACCATCCGGAATAAATGAGATCGCGATTGTCAGTCGGCAGCGATTGGAGGCTTTAATCGAAATAGGATCGCAATGCAAATCACGACTGGAGCCGGCGAACCGAAGGGGGAAATGGTAATCGAAGAAGTTCGGCTCGCTATCTGATATACTTGTATGCAAAAGCCGAGAAGCGGCGTATTTCGAGCGCATTGCGTATACGCCCAAGGGTACGCCGATATCGGAGATCACCACAATCGAATTAAATGAGTTTGCTGCCCCCACGACGAAAGGAAAATTACTGGTGTGTAAATTTATTTCACATACAAAACTTTAAAAAAATAAGTTTAGTATATTTTAAACTGGGAAGCTTACGGTCTTTGAATGTTTTGCTTGTGGAAAAATAATTAGAAATCTATATGTACTGAAACATTTATAAAATAACTTAATAGATATTAAACATGCTGTACATTCACTTAAGACTAAACTATATTAATTTCGTCTTTACTCAGTCTGATTTCTAATATGATTTTGTAGACCAATTTTAATAAAACTCTTATTGCTTCAAAACTAAAATTACAGCTAAAGTATATATCTGCTAACATCATATTTAATATGTTAGCTGACTCCTTTTTTATTAGACTTCATTATATTTTGACATACTTTGTCAATGTAGACCAATAATAATTTTAAATTAGAATTTGGGCCAACTTTTATGAAATTCTTACCGAAAATGCCAGGAATTAAGCTGCCATATGTTGGGCACAGAAAAAACGCGGGCTCACACAAACACACCAACACACTAATATACACATCCACTGACCCACACGCGCTAAGGACACGTTCGTCGAGCGAGTGTGTGTGTGTGGGGATTCCCCACACAGCGTTGCCTTTGTTTTAATTATGAAACTTTGAGGACTGCAGTTATTTTTACGAGAAGGAGGCGTGACAGCGCGTGCGACTTTCCAGCAAAAACTTTTTCATCTGTTGAAGCTGTTGAAGTCGAGGAATGTGACGTCGAAGCTGACATTGGCAGCGACGCCGGCAGCGACGCCTGCGCCGACGCAGACGCCGAAAAGGAAAAGCCGACGAGGAAAACCCCTCGAAAGAGGGTGAAAAAAGGAAAAAAGCAGACAGGACAGGCAACAAATAGGCGAGTGTGTTTACTTGTGTGGGTTCTCTATAAGAATATCCGGGTGTGTAGTTGTGTGTTCGTTGTTGTTGTGCTTGGGAAAACAAGTGGTTGCCGTGGTGAGAAGAAAACGGGTTTGGAAATAGAGCGAAAGGATTGGGATGGGAGCAGGAAAAGCGACTGCATCGGCACCCTATTTATAAGTGTCGCAAAGTGCCTGTCAGGGATCATTTATTATACCCTTGCAGAGGGTATTATAATTTTGGTCAAAAGTGTGCAACGCAGTGAAGGAGACATCTCCGACCCTATAAAGTATATATATTCTTGATCAGGATCACCTCCTGAGTTGATATAGCCATGTCCGTCTGTCCGTCTGTCCGTCTGTCCGTCTGTCCGTCTGTCTGTCCGTCTGTCTGTTTCTACGCGAACTAGTCTCTCAGTTTTAAAGATATCGAATTGAAACTTTGCACACACCCTTCTTTCCTTTGCACGCAGTATATAAGTCGGAACGGCCGGGATCGGCCGACTATATCCTATAGCTGCCATATAACTGATTGATCGGAAATGCCATAACTCTGCTGTTTGTTAGGTTAGGAAGTTGGGACTTTCTATGGGTTTTATATTTGGCCAATCAATCCGACGTACCAAATTTCATAAGGATCGGCCGACTATATCTTATAGCTGCCATATAACTGATTGATCGGAAATGCCATAACTTTGGTGTTTGTAAAGTTAGGAAGTTGGGATTTTCTATGGGTTTTATATTTGGCCAATCAATCCGACGTACCAAATTTCATAAGGATCGGCCGACTATATCTTATAGCTGCCATATAACTGATTGATCGGAAATGCCATAACTTTGGTGTTTGTAAAGTTAGGAAGTTGGGATTTTCTATGGGTTTTATATTTGGCCAATCAATCAGACGTACCAAATTTCATAAGGATCGGCCGACTATATCTTATAGCTGCCATATAACTGATTGATCGGAAATGCCATAACTTTGGTGTTTGTTAAGTTAGGAAGTTGGGATTTTCTATGGGTTTTATTTTTGCCTAATCAATCCGACATATTAAATTTCATAAGGATCGGCCGACTATATTCTATAACTGCCATATAACTGAACGATTGGAAATGCCATAACTTTGGTGTTTTTAAAGTTAGGAAGTTGGGATTTTTTATGAGTATTAAGAATGCATTATGAATGATTTTGGAGAATATAATTAGCAGAATATTCTGCAATGGTATTTCAACTTCGGCTCCGCCCGAAGTTAGCTTTCCTTTCTTGTTTTTTAAATAAAACTGAAACTGTAAAATCTATACGAACTTTACAAACTTAAACTGTATAATAAAAATGTAATGAATTAGTAATTTCCCAAAAATAAGCGTTTGAAGGAATTGCGATAATCTATTAAAAAAAATTAAATCTGTCTAAAGCTTTAGTTTAGAAATACTTGATATTTGTAATATTCATATTAGTTCAGCATACCCCTTGTAGAAATTTAATTATACATAGCTTCTCCCAGTGCAACCGCTCCCGAAGCATTTTACTAGACATGTGACAGCTCCAATTCCCACATTACACCCTGCCCGATTGTAGTCCTTAGTCCTAAAATGGGCGGAAATGAAGCCGCCATCCATAAGCAAACATGACAGCACCACGCTCCTATTAGCGTTCAAATTTTGTTGTTTGCAACTCCCTCCTTTTCCAATTTCCAGTTCGATGACGAAGCGTAACAAATAATAACAACAGTGCCTTCAAGCAACCGAAATGATTGGAAAAGTGCATCGAGGGCTTTTCACCGGGAGGTGACAGACCACAGAAAACTTTGGGGCCTACCGGAGTGAGAGTTGCTTAAATGGGGCTAAACCATTAACCACAGAAACAAATTAAGTAAATCTAGCAAACAAGCAAACCAGCGTTAATAACAAATCGTTAAGCCAAGTCAAAAAAACTCAGTTCCTACATATACTTATATTTTTAGTCAGCTTGATGTTTCTAAAAGTTAAAAATGCGGCTTAAAATATTTAAAAATAACGTTAAGTCATTGCAATATTGATTAAAAATAGTCTTTGTTGTTCTAATAAGATTTTTTTCCTGTGCAGAGAGGGCAGCCTAAAAAAGAGAATTGAAATAAACAATAAGCAGCAAATGGGCAAAAAGCAAAAGCTAGAAAAAGTGGAAAAAAGCAACAATAAAATGGGCGACAAACAGCAACTACGGGCAATCATAAAGGCAACGCAATCAAATGATAGTAAAAAGCAGCGACGATTACGCTGGCAGAGACGTCGGTAGTGCTGCCACAGTGTGGCTTCGTTCCCCGATTATTTTGCATACTACATATACGATGTCTCCAAAGGTGAAACGTAAAGAAAGAGCAAAGAAGAGCGGAAAAAGAGGGGCCCAGCCGAAGAAGCTATAGCAATTCCCAATTCCACATTCAAATGCAAAACAAATTCAAGAAAATCGAACAACAGCGAGCAGATAGAAGCTAGCGACTTTGACAAAACCGAAAGATAGAAAGAAACTTGGTGTCATAGTTTAAAAACAAACAACTGAGCTCGCAATTATAAGGTTCCGAAAGGTATTGAAAATGACCTTACCCCAAAGGGTACAGACCTCAAAATCAGTGTCAAAACAAAGATCCTAATCTTAAAAAAGTATAAAGGTATGTTTGGGCTTTTAATAGATTCAATATATCAATGTTGACAAATAATCCTAATCAGTTTTAATTACTTATCTTATCTGCTAATTTATTTATCTAACTAAACTCTGAGATTATTTTATGTTTTTTCGACGGGTATACAACAAAACTTTTTGGAATTAATGACGTTTGTTTTTATTATACAAATCAGGATAAAACCTCGTAGATAAAATCCTTTTACATTTTTTATATTATTGTGAAGAAGAATTGTAATTAATTTAAGCATATTTTAAGAGACTTCTTTATAACCATACATGCCAACAACATGGACATTACACCTATTAATACCACTGTATGGTGTGCTATTTTATTGACCCTCATTGTATTCCTATGTAAATATCTGAACGTTATGTGGCCACGACAAAATATTGATTGAAAATCAATAGGCTCGGCCGCTTGTCATTCATTCTCTATGATTCCCCGGCGGCAGAGAACTCGGAATTCAAATGTCGATGCGATCCAACTGCCAGCCGGCAAGCTCACTTCAATCAAATATAGAAATCTATATATATTGAGTATATATGTATATCTGGCATACGAACGTTAACATACACACTCGTATGTGTGTCAGTAGTTTTGATGTTCGTGCGTGTGGTGATGACAAGCTCGGCTTGATAATTTAAACACGTAGCCCTCGACTAGAGCTTCTGCCATGGACTGCGCCCCCAAACCACCCATCACCCACCACCTTAGTACTCCCCTCGTATACCCCACAATCCAGCACCCAGCGACATCACCGACACACACACTTGCACACATGCAATAACGTATAGAGCAAAACAGACGTAAAAAATCGAAAAAAAACAAAGAAATGTCAACACACTTTTATTATTGTTAATGTAATACCCTGGATAGATAGGGGAAGGGGAGTATATCAACACCTACTAAAAATTATATTGAAGTTAAAAAGATCTGTATTTAGAATTTATCTGTAGGTTCCATTACTACGTTTTTAATACACACACAAAATAAGCAGATAAATTATGTTTAGAGCAGGATAATTTACAAGAGATAGTTGGACGACTTTAGGACCTTTTCTTTGATAAGAAAAACTTTATATTTTTGGAGTTGATAAATAAATAAATAACAAATTGACCAAATAAAGTTCGGGAAAGAAGAAAAATTTAGATAGCAACGACAAAAGATAGTTATTCAAGTTTTATCCCGATATAAAAGTGTAGCCTACTTCTAGGTTGCTCTGCATGCAAAGGGTACATTTTGGTCGAACCTTTTTGGTGAGCGTTATTATTATTCCTGTCTGTGTGGCGCTTTTTGGGACTGTCGTTGTAATCGACTTTGTTGTTGCCGTCGCCGCAAAACAAAAATGCCAAAGAAGAGAATAAAGTAGAGCACCCAAGTCGGCGACGTCAGCCTCTGCAGCGACGTCGGCAGCGACGCCAACAGCGTAAGCCGCACTCAGCAAAATTGTGCGAGAGGGCGGGGGCAATGAATGGAGGGGAAGCGTATGCACTCAACCAGCAAATAAACCACGTATTCACACACACCCGTGCATACTCGACACACTTATACAGATATTTACAAAAAAAACGTACACACCAAACAAAAAGACCTATTAAGGGGACACTAATTAAAAATACAATTTCTAATTTTATTAATATTTTGTTCCACCAAAATGGAAATATTTCAAAACGTCAAATATATTAAAAAAAATAGTTTTATGACTATTATATTACAATATACTAACACGGATCTTATTAATTTGATGATTTTAATGTGGAATATCAACTTTTAAAAATTACCTTTAAATCAATATATCATTTGGTTTAAAAAATACTCATTTAATATATAACATAATATAACTTTAAAAGATTTCAGTGATTTTAAGTAAATGGTAAGAAACATTAAAAATTAATATAACTTATGATATCCTAGCTTATGTCCGACTAAAAAATGAATAAATATTTTTGACAGTGCACAAACCTCAAAAGTTTTTCGACATTTTGTTGGTGTTTTCGCTGCTGTTGCACCCTCTGCCGCAGTCGCAGTCGACGTTGACGGTGCAGTCGCTGCTCACTTAAACGTTATTTTCGCTGCGTCTGCCGCTGTTATTGTTTGTTTTTGTTGTTTATTTTTTTGCCTTGTATCGCTTGATTATTTTGTTGTTTTTTTTTTTTGTTTTTTCGCCCTCAGCTTGTAACTTGCAATATAATTTAATAGCAACTAATGTGCTTGCTGCTGTAGATAGTTTTTGTTTCTGTTATTCACTTAAAATTCGGCTACGCACTTAAACACAAACAAATTTTGGCGTTTTACCTTCAATGTAACACGAGTCGTATACGCGATATCTGCTGATAATAACGGATATCCATAAGTATTCGGTTGCACTCTTGCTTTATCCCACTTTTATTATTTCGATTTCTTTTAACTGTTAACACGAATTAGATTTGACAATTCGGAACGTCAGCAAAACACATACATTAAAGCCGGCATTGAAAACGCTCTGTTTCCCGAACTATCTTTTTCTCCAGAACTTGTACAGGTGGCAAAAAGGCAAAAAGCGGCGTGTTAACGGCGGAGTACAGAAATTATACAATGTTTTGTAGTGGTAGTAAAATACAAAAGTTAATAACAACGCGACAAACAGAAAAAAACACGCCAGAACGTAACCGAACGGAATTTAGTGATGCGATGCGCCAGCGTACGCGTCCGTGCACGTCCGCTCTCTTCAAAGACAAAAACGCGAGTGAGCGACTGGACAAACGGTAAAAGCACACACGGCGGATGAGTGCTAATTGCGCTCAGCACGCGCCACAACAGGAGAGAAAGCCGTAGAAAGAGTGCACCGCTCATTCTCTCTCCAATTGTGCGAGGGAGACAGCTCATACAGGTGGTTGGTGGGGGGTTCTTCTATGCACTAAGAGAAAAGCTCCACGAGATTTCCTGGAAATGCAAATGGTCTTATATTCTAAAAAAAAATTGCTCATTCGCCATGTTGGTTGCAAAGTCGATCAAGTGGGTGTGCTCAAACTGAAATCAAATGTGGATAATCTTTGCTTATGCTATACGTAAAGATGCATCTCTGTATCTTAAATATATTAAATATTCTAGATTTGGATTTTTGGGCTTATATGCTTAAAACCAATGTAGCTATGTTACATAGCCTATGTATGTATGTACATTTTTTAAAACGTTTTTTTATATTTACTCTGCAAGGGTATACGAATCGGACAAGGGGCTCAATATGCATTAAAAGCCTTCGAATGGTATTGGTATTATTAAATCATTCTACGTTAATCTTTCGTTCCCTGTATTTTTACCTGTTACTAGTAAACAATGGTATTGTAAACGTTAAGAGATGCTAATTGAACTCGCCTGCGTGTGCTATATTCACCGTTACTCCACAATAACCGATAGCAAGAAATTCTTTTGATTGGTATGCTATTTGCTTGGCAACGCCTGCATTCAAAAGTAACGACGATTGTTACACATTGAAGGCGCTGCCAGACGTATACGTTTTGTGGCTAAACGATTGACAATAAAGAGATCACAGTAACGAACTAAATCGCCTGAATGTGTGCTACAACTACGTGATTACTCGATAGCGGAATAGTAGGAATAAAGTTGGACATGCAATAAGCAAATGATGCAACAGGTGCGTTTAATGTTGGAAAAGGAGAAAGATCAGTTCAAATGGAAAAATGCCAAAACATTAAATTTAACTAACAATAAAAACAACAATGAAATTTGCTAATCAGAGTGAGTGCAACAATTTAAAATAGACAATGAAATGAAGAAGATTCCACTTAATAAAGGTAAATATTTTAGTTTAAATCACCAACATGAATTTACAATGTAAGCGCATAGAAAATTTCATTTTTCGGAGATCTAATATTTGTAATCCGTTAACAGTAAACTAGAAAACATTTAACAGAGCTGTTGAGGGCTGCGTTATAATAATATAACCATTAACATTCTGTATTATAGGCCCAACCTTGTACGGTCACACTGCGCTTAAAAGAAGCCAAGCGAGAAGCATAAAAGCAATTGAGAATTGCGATTGAATTGATTTAAAGATCTCAGAAAAAACTTTCAACTGTTTGAAAACATGACAGAAGACTGGCAGAGTCAGAAGTTCCGCCAGAATGTCATCTCCAAGATGTAAGTTCACTCGAAAATCAGATTGCTTTGATTCAACGACCGACTTATTTTTCAGCCACGACTTGTTGCCACCAAACGCACCACAGGATCAATCGAAAAATGCCAGCGTAATGGAGAACCACATCTTCCGGAAGTCTCGCACCAAAGACGAATACTTGGGCCTAGTGGCCAAGCTCTTCATGCATTACAAGGACATGTCCCGAAAATCCCAGCAACAGCAGCAACAACAACAACAGCAGCAGGGTGGCCCGCCCCAAAACGCCGAAATGGGCGGCGGTCAAAATATGATGCAGGATCCATTGAACGCCCTGCAAAACCTCGCCAGCCAAGGGAATCGTAATCCTCAAATGATGCCCATGGGTGCCGGAGGAGCTCCAGTGGCCGGTGGCCCGGGAACAGCCTCAAATCTGTTGCAATCCCTAAATCAACAGCGTCCCGGGCAACAGCAAATGCAGCCCATGCCCAATATCCGGGGACAAATGCCCATGGGCTCCGGCGGTGGTGGCGGAGCGCAGCAGATGATGCAGCAGCAGATGCAGGGCGGAAATGCCCCTGGAGTCATGAATGTGATGGGCGCCGGTGGCGTGCAGAGTCAGGGTCAGATCGTTGGTAATCCGGGTCAGCAGATGGGAGTGGGCATGCCTAATCAGATGGTTGGACCGGGCCCGAATAGTGGTCCCGCCGTTGGAGGAGCCGGTGGTGCAAATGCTGCACCAGGTGCGCCTGGTCAAGGGCCAAATCAAATGCAGACCGGACCAATGAATGCCATGCAACAGATGCCGCCTATGCAACAGATTCAGCAGAATCAAATGGGGGTAAGTAAGGATTATTTTTCTTATGGTCTAATGTCAATATATTAGCTCCTCCCCCTAAAGATGGGCATGAATCCGATGATGAGGATGGGTCAAGGCAATGGAATGGGCGGACCCCAAGGAATGCCAGGACAGGGTATGCAAGGAATGCCCCAGAACATGCAGCAGGGCCCGCACAATGTGGTCGGCGGTCCAGCGGTTCAACAGCAGGTGGGCGGAGCTGGGCTGCCGCCCAATGCGGTACAGCAGGGGGGAATGAATCCCATGGGTGGTATGGGGGTGAACATGCCGGCAAATCTACAGCAAAAGCCTAACATGCCGATGGGCCAGACAGGTCAGATGTTTCCCGGCAATCGAGGAGGCGTAGGAGTCGGCGGACAGCAGCCTGGACAGGCCTTCATGCGATCCAGTCCCTCGCCAGCGGATGCCCAGCAATTGCAGCAGCAGCAGCAGGCTCAGCTCCAGCAGATGCAACAACAACAGCAGCAACAGCTGGTGGTAGGTAATCAAACGCCCACGCAGCAACCACCGACTCCCCAGATGCCCACGCCAAATATGATTCCGAGTCCGGCACTGGTGCCCCAATCTAGTCCGCAGATGATGCAGATGCAGAACCCCCAGCGCAGCATTCGACAGCAGTCGCCGAGTGCCTCCATTAACACACCTGGTCAGGTCACTGGAAACAGTCCGTTTAACCCCCAAGAGGAGGCTTTGTACCGAGAGAAGTACAAACAGCTGACCAAGTACATTGAGCCACTGAAACGAATGCTGGCCAAGATTAGCAACGATGGAACAAGTGAGTTAATAATACACATTCTTTATTATTATTTTGTTAGTACTAGTAAAACTATATAAAGAGATTTGTTTCCCAATGCAGAAGAGTTTACATTTTACATTAGTATTTTTATATTTTTACCTTTCTTATAGATGTGGAGAAAATGACCAAGATGAGTAAGTTGCTGGAGATCCTGTGCAATCCTACACAGCGTGTGCCTCTTGACACTCTCATGAAATGCGAAAAAGCTCTAGAGAAGATGGATCTAATCTCCTATTCTGGCCAGCAGTTTGGCGTAAGTAATAAAAAACAATAATACAAATAAAATGAAAACAACATCATTTTGTTGATTTAGAAATCTTCGAATCCACTGCTGGAGGTTATAAATACCACACTGCAAAGTCCTGTAGCTAATCACACACTGCATCGCACCTTCCGACCCACTTTAGAACTGCTATTTGGTACTGATATAGCAGCACCAGTGCCCTCGAAACGACCGCGAGTGAACGAGAAATCTTCGCCCTTCGAGCAGGATGTTCCTCATGTGCTTCAAGGCGAAATTGCTCGGCTAGATAGCAAGTTTAAGGTGAAACTCGACACCACATCCCAAATAAATAATAAGGCGATACGATTGATTTGCTGCCTGGATGACAAACGATTGCCTAGTGTTCCACCAGTGAGCGTAAGTGTGCCGGAGGAGTATCCCTGGCAGGCTCCGGACTGTTCCTTAACGGAACAGGAGTATTCGGCCACCCCGTTTCTGCAGGCGGTGCAACAAGCACTAATTGCTCGCATGTCTAAGCTTCCCAAAAATTATTCGCTTTCACACCTGCTGGACACCTGGGAAATGGCCGTGCGTCAGGCGTGCTCTCCCCAATCAAAACCTAGATCACTCTGCGAGCTAACCACATTATTAGGAGTTTAGCTTAACTACCAGTCCTTACTTCTCCGCAACTATAAATATAGAGTACGGGTTTGAAAGTAAGTTTTTAACTTGTTTTTTTATATCAAACTTTTTATATCAAGCTTTCATTGTAGGACAATAACCCAGCTCTTCCTGCAAATATGGATTGAGGATCTAAATGCAACATACTTTTAACGGAAACAGTTATACAGCTAAAATAAAAAAAATAATATTTTAACCAACATTTAAGTCTTGCCGCATAGTGGTTAATCAAGTCCTAATCATTTCATCATTACTCAAAATTTAAAACAAACGCACTCTACTATTCAAGAAAAACATCCTGCATTCTATAGCTATACCAATCATTCGCCTTTAATTCAAAATTATTCATGAAGGTAAGACAATTTATTTATCTATAATTTCTTCTTTTATAAACTACAAATTTACAAGTTTGGCTATCCCTGACTTTTAGTATTTTTATTTATGATAGGGACAGTCTTAATTTCATTTCATTCCACCACCACACCATACTTATTGTCATAATTTTACCATTACGACATTCCATTGACCTCCTTCCCTCCCATTTGATACAATCAATTTAGGATTATTTGGAAAATATGTATATTTATATTTTCTTTTGTTGAGATTGGGATCGTGTGAAGATCCACTATTTCTTTTTTGTTTTTCTTCTCTTATTTTCCACATGTAGCAATAAATACAATTGTTTGTGTGTGTTTAAGTTTAAGAGAATTAGACCAATAACTATGGTATAATAGAAAAGAGTTAAGAAAACTTAAATATCACAGATGTTGGACGCCGAATGCGCCACTTTATAATATGTACAAGCACTAGGGGAATTCAAAATTTAAATCTGAATTAAAGAAGATCGCTAAGCTAGGACGTGTGCTCTGTGCTCTTGGAAAGAAAGTAGCTTGGATCGCATCCATTCGATTTGTGTTTAACAGATGCGAATCTTATTGAATTTGAAGTTGATATATGCACAAAACGATGACAAGATCTAGCTCTTAACTAAGCTTAAGTCTACACCAGCTAGATAATGTGAAAAACTCAAAATAAAATTCTGAATTTTAAGGTTTGATAGAACATTCTCGATGCGGGAAAATTCGATCTTTAAGTGTTGTCTTAACAAAAGATTTTATAAATCTTTACAAAAACTTTTAAAAATAGGCTTTCCAAAATCGACTCGGGTATAAATCTTTTCTGTATTTGCCTGATTTTTGTAGAAGTTTTTCCACATTTAGCTGGCGATACTGTCGGGCTGAGATTAGTTCTGGTGCTGCATTTCCTCCCGCTTTTATCATCGCTGCACTTGGATCAGGGTTCCGCCGAAGCTAAAACTGGCCTGCTGCTGTAGCCTAAGCAGATCCTGGGCGCTGTAGACTTGCAAACTGGTGGAGGAGCCGGACGAGGAGCTGGCACTGGAGGCAGCCGGCGCTATCGCCCGCAAATGGAACGTGGCATCGCAGACGGAAGCAGCTGCAGACGAGGAGGAGCTGTTGTTCGTCAAGGAGACATGACGGTTGACCCCGTTCGCCTTGTCCTTGTTATGGCGCTTAACGTGCTTGGACAGGTGATCGCTCCTCATGAATTTCTTCTGGCACACGCTGCACTGGAACTTCTTTTCGCCGGTGTGGGTCCGCTTGTGTCGAGACAACTCATCGGATCGCGAAAATCTCTTGTCGCAGTTGTCCCACTTGCAGATGAAGGGTCGTTCGCCCGTATGAACCCTTTGGTGGGCCTTCAGGTGACTGCTCTTAAAGTAGTTCTTGCCACATTCGGGGAAACTACATTCGTAGATGCGACTTCTTGTGGCCGCCGCCTGAGCTGCCGTGATTCTGGTGGTGTGTTTTTCGTCGGGCATCGATGGCACTGTGGGTATGGGCGTGGGACTCTGTTGCGCAGCAACTGTGCTGAGCAGAATGAGCTGGCTAGCTGGAGGAGCTACTGGAGCAACATAAATAGGAGTCATAATTGGTTTAATTTCAGCCTCCTCCTGGGCCTTTTCCGCTGGAGCAGATGGAGCTGGAAGCTCTGGAGCCGGTGTCTCGGGTTTTTGTACTGGGGTAAGGGCCACTTCCGCAGCCCGCTTCCTGTTCATCTTGAACTTGAGATTGCGCCACACATTGGCTTCTGGATAGTCGTCCTCCACAGTAGGTGGGACCGAAATTGTACTGATGGTTGAGTTTGAAGAGGAACTGGAGCAGGAGCTGGTGCTGGAACTGGATGAGTTCTCGTCTTGGTTACTGGAAGAGACGGCCCCCGAGCTGTTGACCCTCATGATGACGCTAACCCTCTCGGCCTTGTGCTCATCATCCAGCTTCTGATCCGGTGGAGGTGTCATGGTCGTCGCAGGCTGCTCCAGGCGGGGTTTCTTATTGGGGACCGCCATTTCCGGAGTCTCGTCTTCCGTGTCCGACGGGTTGGGTGTGATAATCCCTCCATTCTTTTGGTTCTTTTGGGCCACTAACTTGAGTTTGGCCTTTAGCAGGTTCTCGTTTAATTGTTGCTCGTCCTTAGCGACCTGAAGAAAACGAAAGAACAAGTTCAAGGTTAGTGAGAGTTCATCAGGATTGAGTTCAGGCTATCAGGAGCGCATTCACATTCCCATTCACTTTTGGCTGACCAGCAAATGACCGACAATAACTTTTCCCTGGCAATTCGCTAATTACGCCGACGGCTGGCAAGGCCGTTCACCGTTAACCTTCGCGCTCCCTGCAGCACCCCAACCAAGCCCCAGGTTCAATGATTCTTCAAAAGGCCAAGGGGACATTATTTTTGGCGGCTTTTGAACTGTTTTTTTAATTCGGTTTAGGGTGAGAAATAATGATTCATTAAATGTCGTCTTGTTACAAGCAAAAATATTCATTGATCATTAATTTAATGTAAAACATTTTGAATTTTAATGTCACGGTTTCAAAAAAGATTTGCTAAATTGGTTTTGATTACATATCTGAAACATTCACATTTTGTATTCTTTTTTTTTAAGTGCATTTCTAAATTAAATTTTTTATGAATAAAAATTTTAATTTATAAAGTTTTTTACCCATTTTCAAAATATTAATAGACCTTTTTGAAACCCTTAAGAATTCAAAAATGCCGCCAAAAAGCAGGCAAAGAAAAGTGCAGCCACACAACTATGGTGTGCCTCAGGTGGGGAATTTAATGGGGAAGGCGATTGCGAGGGGTGTATTATGACTCGTGTGGAGACGTCGAAATCTTTTTATGGGCTCGGCACGTTGCGTTCAAATGTGCGACAGTGGTTGTTTGTTTCTTTCTTGGCCAGATAAAAAAAGAGTCAGAAATGTGACATATTTTTATGGCTTGGGGCTTGGCCTGTTTGGCTAGCTCTTGCCCCCTCTCTTTTTTACCCACAGTTGCCAATTGGCAACTCACCTTCGCTCTCAAACAAAGTCGGTACTCTCTCTCTCTCTGGGCTTTTCTGTTGTTTTTTCCTAGTAGTGCCAAGTCCAATGTTCAGGGTAAGGCGCTCTCGCTCGCACTCACATATCACTAGCTGTGCATGCGGTGTTCACGTGAACGCGTGCTGACTGCGTGATCGCATGGCTGAGTGCGAGTGCGAGCGGGACATAGCACTTTTGTTTTTAGAAATGCGGCAAGTGGAAGCGAGAGCGAGCTTACGTCCGATTCTGTTTGATTTTCCGCTGCCTTGAATGCACTATCCTCACTATTCTCACTCAAAAAACACTAATAGCACTGGTACATATCCACTTTGTAGGTCACTTACGTTTTCCAACTTATTATCCCTCAGCGGGGGCGTTGCGGGTGGTGAAGGTAGCAAGGTATCCATGTCCATTGCACTTTCAACTGCACTCTCTTTTTGCGAAGAGTCTTTAAAAGTCTGTGTTTGTTTGTTTCTGCTGCTTTCTGACCTATCACTTGGTTAAATCTCAGTTTTGTGTATTTTTGCACTTTAGTTAACTTTGCACTGGCGCTTTTCGAGTGCCTTCTGCCGTTTTGGAGCGGAGGCGAACCGTTGCGTTCAGAATTCAAGAGACGAATGAAAAAGGCAAAGGCATTCAGCTCCCAGCAGAGCTGCCGCGGCCGACGTCGCTGTCGCGAGTGCCAGTGTTAGTGAGTGGAACCGCCGACGTAATCACTTGTTCGTGGGCTTGTGTGTGTGAGAGGGCAATCGTCATCAGCAGTGGAGCAACCAGTGCAATGAAACCCGGACGGACATCAGTCAGCAGCAGCGTGGGCAGCGCCTCTTCCCTCTGTCTCTCTCTAGCTCGAAAAAGGTCAGGTCTCCTCCTCACTCACCTCTAGGCAACCCACACATACAGAGAAAAACAGTTCGATATCAAAAATATATTAAAAGTCCGTATGTGAACTGTATGATATCAAGACAATCATGAGATCAAATAAGTACACAGACAAGTAAAACAAGATAGTCAAACACAACGACAAGTATCTTGGTATAATAGGAAGATGCACAGAGCATCCTTAAAAACCAGGTTCGAATTCCACTGCTGCTCGCTTACCTGTAAGGGGTATTTTTTACTCTTGATCTAGGAGTATATTGGAAATATCGTTTGTAGAGGTACATATAAGCTTGTAAAATTATTTTTCTGGTATCTGGTCGAAAATTATGTGAAAAATTAGCAAATAAATCACATCAACTTTTCTTTTGGTGCAGGAACACAGACATCGTCAGAGACAAACCAATGGAGCACGTAACTAACGCATGGACGTCATCAGCTGTTTGCTGCGGGGTCTGGTTTTTGGTGCTAGAGAGAGCGGGACAGCAGGCGAGGGGCAGAGAGCTCCATTGGGCTGTCTATTCATAGGCTGTGCATGCCCAAGCCGCGTGCACAGCGCACACCAACATTCACAGACACACCCCAAAGCCGTGACTGAATAGCTGACGCAGTTGTTGCCACGGAAGTCTGTGATTAATCGAAAAAAAAAATACTTTAAAACAGGCTCGAAACCTGGGAAGACGCCCCTCAAGCCGAAATCTAAGACCTGCCGCATATATTTGCATTAACTTTAAATCCAAGTCTGACTTTGAGCAGACGTAGATTTCATTAACAAACGAAAAGCAGAGTGGGAAAGCAAGAGAATGTGGGAGCTCAACAGTTGAGCGGCAGGCACTGCCAGGCCCAAGAAATGAAAGAGATAACAAAGATGAGTCACAAAATACACGCAGTTTAAAACAAGCTTGTTTACCCGTCGCAAGGAACTCGATTAAATCGATCACTAATTCAATTCATTAATTGGAAAACTTACTCAGGGCCCAATAATTTTCACCTGGCAATGCTCGGTCCGGCTGTAACAGTTTTCAAAGCAAAAAGGGGCTCGTGCACAGCACACACACCAAAAAGCGGGTAAGAGCGAACACAGAAACAGCTGTGACTATTATAAGACGGCGCTCGCTTGCTCTCTTGCGCAACAACAACAGCCTTAACGAATAACTAGTACGCCATACCCCACACCAGACTTGTGGGGCGACTGTTAACGTATCTAGGGTATCCTAGTGTATGATAGGAGGACGTTAATTCACGAAGATACGTCTGAAGTTGGTAGTGGTTTCAGCTAGCTGCAGATTGGGACGAGTGTTAAAACTGCGCCCAGCGTCTTTATAACAATGGTCGACGAGAGGATATTTTCAAATAAACATTTATTTTTGGATTCAAATATGTATTTGTTCTGAGTTTTTCAAGATTTATTCTTTGTGGCGACCAACGTGGTGCCGTGCTTAAAGTTCAGAATATTTAAATTTTTACTGAGAACTTGAAATGTAGATGGTATCTTCAAGTCGAACCCCAAACCAATATCTTTCTTACTGGCTGAGCGAGCTCGCCTGGGTGTTTTTCGGTGTGTGTGTGTATCTGTGTGGGTCCGTCTGGTATCACGCTTTGACCTCATGATGTTCACGTGAACATTTGTTGATACTTTGCCTCGGCGGACGAGTGAGTGAGTGCGAGCGAGTGGCGGCGATAAAAGCCAGCAGTCTGTGGCGTGCCTATCTGTGCGAGTGTGTGCGTGTGGGTGTTTGCAGTACTTGCGTTTTTGTTTTTGTTTTCTCTTCGTGTTTGTTATTGGAATCGGAATTCGTGTGTAAATTTCGCACGGAACTGAAGCGATGGCCTCCACTCTCTCGCGAATGTGGGCGTGTAAATGGGCCGACGTACCGTTACCGCACCTCTCTCTCCACTATACTTCCCCCAGATTTTGAATGCAAACTGCGCCACAATTGAGCTTTCCCACTCACTTCCACTCCTCTCAAACCATCATTCTGGAATTTATATGCAATCGGTAGCCGCAGGTTAGATCTAAAATTAGCAGCACATCTCGGCTCCCCGGCGGGTTCAAGTTCAGTTTCCTTGACTTGTATTCGCCCACGGAGATCCCACGCCCACCCACATTATCTCGGATGGCGAAATCCGGACTCGCAGAACTCACATGTGCCCACGCACATTCTCTGTCGCACGTAGACTCCTGGCCACTGGAAAAAAAACTGGTTAGAAAACTGTAGGATTTAATCAAAAAAGACAACTTAATACATTTTGGGAGATATAATCAAGCTTCTGAGATAAATAATAAATTTTAATCATGTTAAATATCTGTTATTTTTATAATGAAAGATTGTAGAAAAGTACTGATCTGAATTTGATGATCTGATTATTACCAAGTTAAGAAGTCTGAAATAATTCTCTTACAATTAATACAAATTTTTAATAGTAACATTTGAAATTTGTTCCTTAAAGAAAAATTAGGGAAAGAATAGCAATATTTTGCGTTGTGGCAAAACCTCAAATTAGAGGAAAGGCGACTAAGTTATAGCCCTTTCCTCTCTGCGGAGCGAGTTTGCGCATTGACGAATCTCTCGTCTGGCATATTATGTAGCCGACTCGTTGACTCGGTGACGTCACTCCCACGCTGTCTTTGCTCCTGTTGCGCGTCAAAGGTCAAAGCACACGAAGCGTGACGTTGGCGTGAGCTTCCGCCGGGTTCAAGGCCTCCTACGCCCTTAAATCTTTATTAATGAAAAGAGCAGTGGCAAACAGGTCACAGGCGCAGGCAGACATTTCTTGGTCGGAGGCGTTGGTCGAACGTCAATCACAGGAGGATCCTGACGTCAGAGGCCATGGAAAAAGAACCCCGCTTATTATTCAAATTCATATATCAATTCAATCATGTATTCAGCGAGTGGCACATAGTTCGAGCTAAATTCATGAGGAATAGATCTATAATTTGCCACGGCAACAACGTCAAAAGCGTCAAATGCGACGCCCGTTTTCCTATTTTCACCCATTTCCCATTCATCCTCTTCCCATGGCCCATTTCAAGTTCACTTTCTACATTGTGGCCCCACAGTTTTTGTTTGTTGTCTTTTCTTGGCACCGGGGCGTGGGTAATGTCCGATTCCTCCTACCCCCTATGTTGCCTACAACAATGCGCCAAGATCGACAAAACTCTCCATGACGTCATGAGCCTAACTCGTGACTCCAAGTGAAGATTTTGTTAGTTGCTGGGCTTCATTTTGTTTACCTGTCTTTGATGAAAGGAGAATTGAACAGAAATTTCCATTTACCATAGTTGTAAACATGTTTACAAATAAGAAGATTTTTCCCAATTGAACAGATTATGGGGTCTCTTGAAATAGGTCAAAGTGGTTTTGTGGAAACAACGCATTGAAGAGACATAAACTAGCAGAGTCGATATAGCCAAGTAGGTCTGTCAGTCCGTCCATCTAGTCTCTCAGTTTTAAAGCTATATGATCGAAACTTTCCCAAAAGTAGACTTTCTATTCTAAAAAGTGTATTATTCAAAACGGGTCGGACGACTATAAGAATTAGCTGAACGATCGAAAAATAGAGCAGACAATGGTTTATTGCTTTATTATTTTAATAGTCGTTTTATAGAATACTTAACGTTTGCTATAGCTGCAAGGGTATATAAACTTCGACTTGCCGAAGTTGCCTTCCTTCCACGATGCTAACAATATACATTTATATGTATTTATCTTTGTTATAAAGGCTCACATGACTAACTCGAGACTAATATCTAAATTAGGACTTTCATTTTAATGAACGATTATCGATCTTCTTCGACTATTGCACAATAAAGTAATCGACTAATTTAAAAAGTAATCTAATATTTTTGAAGTATTTGTGAATAATTAAATCAATTCGATTTTTGTATTTTAAAGAAAAATGTTGCAATAATAATTATATTTTAGTAAATAAAACCGCATCTCTTCATCTCTTGGATAATTAATTTTTAAGTAAGGGTTCTGTGCTAATAAAGTAAGTTACTAAACTGAGCTGTATGACCTTTAAATCTCAATATCTATAACTAGACCTGATCTTTCCGGCACCACCCCCTCATTAAGTGTTCTAGTCCCCGCACTTGTGATGCTTTTTCTCTGCCTCTACCGTCGTCTCTGCCTACGTGCCTACTGACGCGTTGCTCTAAAACCGAAAGCTAACAAATGGAACAGAACGGAACGAAACGCGAAACGATGTGAGGGAGGGGGCCCCTTTTGGAGAGCCAACGTTTACAAATCTTTAAAGCAAGGCTAGTAGAGCGGCCTGCTATAAACACCATGTAAACAGGGTGTGGGGAGGGGGCGTATACGACCTTCAATCGAGATTGCGGTCTTCCCAATGGAAATTTACGATGACGCGAAGGTTTTAATGGTTTTTCTTTACCTCTCCTTTTTTTGATCAACTCTCGCATTTATTCTCATACCATTTTTTGTTCTGGCTACCGGTAAAAATTGACCTTGGCCCAGTTCCTTTAGCTGCCAAAAGTTCCATCTGAACTTGAAAGTTGTTGTCCTTGGACCATAAACGAAATGGGATGTGAATGGCAGGGGGTTTGCGGGAAATGGCAAGGAATCAACGTAGGGATAAGGTCTGTCCCTGAACCGGTTCAGGTGAACGACTTAATGGCAACGACAGTTCACCATCGTCGTCATCAGTCGTGCGATGGGAATAAACAAACAGCATCATCAATAAGTAGAAAATATAGTAAATGGGACAGAAATGTTTCCCTTTCCCAACTA